GCACAGATTCTTTGAAATAATGAAGTTGATAGTCGAATTTTCCACCAACGGAGCCATGGAGCAAGATCAGGCTAACTCAATGGTTCCCGGGCTTTTCTTCACTGGCGGACTAATAACATTAAAATAAAATGTTCTTACATATAGCCAATAAAGTATTAACGCAAATGGTGCAAAAAAAACAAACATTTACAAACGAATTACCGCCCGCGTGGAAGTTCTCTGCTGTCTCGATTCCAAACGAGAAATCATATAAGTTTCTTAAACATGCATCTCTGAATCAACCAATACATTCATTTGCATTTTTTATTTAAAGAAAGCGACGAAACTATTTTTTTTCACGTGAGTAGCTGCTTGAACATGAAGACAAGTAACGAATTAAACATATCTGCACGAAACAGGAAGTCAGTTTAGAGAAGTCATGAGCAAATAGACATTGCAAAGTTGTGTCTTACAATGTCTGAGAAACAAGGTGCGCGATAATTTTGATGACGTCATCACTCATCACACACAAAAACGAATCCCATAGAGCCCACAGAAAACTTCGAAATAAATAAAAGTAATAGCCTTCTAGCGAGAACAACAATCTTCAACCACTAAAAAGTTCAAATTAATTGTCCAGTAATTGAAGAGAAAAGTGATATATACTTCTTAACAACAAGAAGAAAAAGAATTCTAACAACATAATACCAAAACGATCCATATGTCCATTTTGTGTCTAATAAAGAAACCCGCATTCAGACGCTGGGCGCACAATTGAATGTAACACGCACATCATGCTTTATCTAAGACAAAACGAGAAAAATTCTCGAAGTGTTTTTTAGGAATAAATCTATGACGCCATGACTGTGCATTTCAAGAGAAAAACTGTTTTCAACCTTGGGCGCTTCGAAAAAACAAAGACGAACTTTCTAAGGGTTCGGTGGTTCGGTTTTTTCAAATTTTTTAATCAATTCCATCCTTCATTTTCATGGTGTTCCAAAAGCAGAATTATTTTCTTTGGTGCAAAGTGTACATATGGAACATTTTGTTAAATTAATTTTTTGCTGAATTCTCCTACATCGCTTTTCTTGATTTGATGGTTGAAGCTGGTAGAAGTAATTTACTTGCATTTTGTTTTTAAATATTTTCTAAGCATTGGGGACCTAATATTTCAGCCTAAAATTTAACCGATTTATTATAATTTATGGAACCACTCTATTACGTTAGCCTTGTGCGCCTCCACCACACTTGTACGTTTATAGTTTCAGCAAACTTGGTTCTCAGCTACTCAAATCTCGTTTCACCGTACCGATGAGCGATATTTGTGAATATATATATTTTGAGCATTGGTATATTGTTTCGTGTATATTGACATACTTCCTATGCTGGGATTCAAATACTCCTCAGAGATGCGTGTTTTTCACGTAGGTAATGAGCAGAGGATTTCAAGGACGCAACACAAATGAGGTTAGTGATAAAATAGAGGAGCGAATTTATCGGTAATGTTAGAAATTATTAGTGAGTGATATACCGCATAGAAGCAATAACTGGAAAGTGATAGATGCTAGGGATCAGTATCTTTAAATTTCTGAAACAACTTTTAGGACCATGGTCGTTCACTCGTTTGTATTGCACAAAAGTGCAATCACACTTTTTAACCCCACAGTAGGGCAATAAATATTCAGGCAACTGCATTAGTAGACAATTTGCAGAATTAACCACACAGTAAAATCCATTTGTGAATTACATATTTTTTATTATTACAACGCAATAAGAACTCAACGACGGATACCGATGATGAGTGTTATGTAATGTATCCGTTTCCGAAACAGAATACGCCTTGATGACTTGTGTATGCGCATATTGATTGCAATGCACTGTGAAATATTTTCCAATAACAAGTTGTGTATTGCTGGTGCTCTCAAAGATAGACAGATCCATGATATCTGAGTTCTATTTACTGATTTGTATTTTCTCATACGGTTTTGATCAAGGCAAGGTCACAAGCAACACTCCAAAATAACTTGGTTCCAGTAAAGAGCGTTATCACAAGTAGACTACCGGTACATATATATATATATATATTCTGTGCCACAAATCCCAGACAGCAAGCAGTTCAGACAAAAAAAAAATTGATGCAGGCGACAGGCGATAAAACTGAAGCTATTGTTTTTTTTTTAGACAAGAAAAAGCATTTTTCATTTTGTTCGACTGGGACCCTTTCGATGAATGTTATTATTTAAAAAAGATAATGCATGGCAGAAGCTGCATTCATCCAAATAAATAAAACGTGAAGTGTAGAATGCATGCTTGCAAAACAGTCGGATACAGACCTACGCGGAGGTGTTGGTATAGGCAACATTCATTGAAACTTGAATTAACAAAATAGCACTGAAATTTTCAAATTAAAAAGAGTCGATTAAAAAGAGTTAATTTTTTTCAAAAAGAATTTCAAATGCGTCTGATACCGCTTATGAGGCATCATCTACCCGTGAGCCGCAGCTACTTTGCATTTACAGATATGATTTTGCAGATTTATCACTGGCATACATTAAAATTATTCAATTTAAAGAGACGCAATTAGCAGAGTTTGTCAAATGCGGAAATGAATGAATTATCTTTTATATATATAGAAAAGATTTTAACAAAGTACTGTGATTATTTGATTGCTTTCATAAACAGCTGGTTTAAAATGAAATGACTCAATTTGACTCCAATTACAGAAATTTCGTGTTTCAGTTGAAATGTGTTTATTTTTGTATTCTCCGTTCGAATGCGCGCGAATTACCGGGAACGAAATTGTGCTGTTTCCTGTTTTCTTTTTTACACATAATGGCATTTCGACGAGGCTTTTCGTAGTAGGTACTCACTGAATTGTACATGAGTATATGGCTGATTTTTTATTTAGTTGGTTTCAAATATCTTACCATGCTATCAATGCTAATGATGAGTTCGTATCAGTGCGCGTGCGGTGAGATGTGTGTCTTCCACTTATTGTTGCTAGTGATAGTCATTCACCGGTTCTATTATTTAGTGGTCATAGATAGAATCGTGGTTAAACCTTCCAATTATAGCATGTATTCATGATAGATATATTTCATCATTATCCGACAGCTTGTATTTCGTTTTATTGCTTGTTTCTTTTTGCTTCGCATTATTTCTTACAAATGAGATATATGTTAGATATATTAATATCCTATAAACATTCTTCGAATTGGCAATGATTCTCTTCAAATAACTTTAGAGTTAGACTCAGTGGTGCTCCAGGAGTTAGCAAACACATAGTAAAAATTTCAACCATGTTGCTGTTATATATCAGCATATCACTTACAGTCTCAGTCTCTTTTTCGAGTAACGTAGAAGTAAATTAAGGTTATAGAAAGGAACAATAGAAGTATACGGGAATCAGAGTGATCAAATTATTATCATAAATACTCAACTAAACATTATTATTCAGTTTGATAGTAAAAGGTTATTCTGAAATCAATATCAGTTTTGTATGGGCCATTGCAATGCAATACATTCAGTACAGTAAATAATTGAGCACATAGTTATCAAATTCTATTTCTGTCAATGTGAATAATATTGACTACAACATAAAAATGTTTTTAATCCAAGATAAAGTATCACGTGATTAATAGAAAATGTTGCTTTAGTTTATGAAATCCATCTGTTAATCTTATATATTCACCATTGCTGATTACGTGCGTCGCATGTTTAAAATACCTTATACAACGTTCCGCACAATCTTTTAGCAAATAATCAAATTGCTATAACCAAAATTCAAGTTCTAAAATCTGAATTCTTGACTCAACCATTCAGCAATAAGGAATGTCCATTAGGTGACAGAGTATATCTACGACTTGTGGTGGACGTTACAAGCGCACGAGTTTGGGGACTGTCTGTGTTAGTCAATGAATATACCCCTTGTCATAGGCTCCAGTCCCTTCGCACAACTTGATGTAAAGTAGACGAACAAAATTGTTACCTCCATATTGGTACACATACTTCTGGGCGCCCATTTTTAGCCTAAAATGAGTTCCAGGTTGCTTCCAAATCAAGTTTGGCTATAAAAACTTGATAAAAACTCCGTTTGGTAAGAGTTTAAAGAAGTTTTTTGATTGTGCACAAATATATACTCTTCAGTTATAGCTGAATATTTGATAAGCCTAGGATCCAAAAAACAGAATATTTTGGGACAAATGATAGATGGTATTTTGATGTTAATATAAGGTTAAATATTTTAATTGTACGCATTCATACCAAAAAGATAAATTAATGTTTATTTAAGTTCGTACATGGGATTTAGAGAAGATCCGCGGCATATGTCACTGCTGTAAGGTTAGTCAACGAGCTCATTTGCTTAAAACAACACGGATATACGCGCAATTCGAAACTGGTGATTATGGAGACCTTTGGTTTAAAACTCAACTGTTGGTTTCATCAACATCCTATGCTTTGTTTTTCAATCGCATAGCAAGTTGGCCTAATTCAATTCAAGCTACGTTAGCGGCGGTACGTTGCTTCAAACATCCTTATATGAGTCATAATTTGATGATAATTACAACGAAACCGGATGATGGAGGCCAGGAAAAGGAGGCGGGTTATGATATCGAAGATTATATTTAAGCTAAGTAGCAAACATTCGGCTACTATTTGATGGCAAGAAGTATATCCACTGAAGGAGGTCGAAAATCCCTGTAATATAGTTATAACGTCCAAGGACTAGTGTTTTGATATTATATTAAGTTCGCTCCTTTGTGTTATAAAAGAGGTATTTTTCTAATTTGAGATAGCTTTTTCACTCAGTTGTAGGTTAAAACAACGTTCCTGCATGGCATTCGGGAAGTAATATTCGTACAAACTATTTTAAGTCTTACGTTACCTAAATACCAACGTCCACAAATATTTGATAATTTTTACTATATATTTACTACGTCAGATTTTTTTCACTCCATATTTTTTTTCAACAGAAAAATTTCAATTCCAGAAACAATTAACAACTTAAAGTTTTTGTAATAATGGGTGAATTTCAACATGGATTATGTGGATGTTTTGACAACATCACTCTCTGTCTAATCAGCTACATCGCTCCATGCTACACTGTTGGAAAAACTGCTGAAGCAGTAGGTGATGACTGCTTATTGTGCGGAGCGGGATACATGTTTGGTGGTTGCATTATCGGTGGATTGCTTCGTGGAAAAGTACGAGAACAAAAAGGAATTGATGGAAGTCCGGTCATGGATTTCTTGATACATTGTTTCTGTCCGCTATGTGCCATTATACAGGACAATCAGGAAGTGGTCACGGCAGGAATGGGAGCATCTATGGCGCGAGTGTGATGGATATTTCGAGTTTTGACTATGTTTAACTTTGGAATCATAATTAATTTGTAAACTTATTATCTAATTATCTATGTAAATTATATGAAATGTTCAAAAAATCTTTTTACGTCATATCTGCCCGAAGGTATAAATTCGAAAACTGGCAGTTCTTCTTGTTTCGTTTGGACGTTTACCAACAACATGGTCCTAATAATTGTCTGCTATGTATGGCCATTCTTCAAATATAATCTTCTTAAGACTTAGACTTCATGACTGTAATGAGTATAATATTTTATTTCTGATACACTATAAAAGTAACACATATATATATATATATATATATCTTTGAACGTCATTTATCGGATATTACACAAAATATAAAAACGTTAATTTAGTTCATTTATATGTGGAAAATAGTATGGGAAGATATGTGCTGAGTGTATGATATAATTACATATACCGCTATAGTAACATCAAGTATATTTCTATGAGAAAATTGGGACACATACAGCTTGTTTCGTTGGAATTTGAAGCAATCGCAATCTCATCATAATAGGGGTACCTCGGATATATGTGCTTAAAGTTCAAGCTTATTGTTAATATCTTTTTTCAAGAAGGAGCTGGTTTGTAATCAGCAGTTCAGATCATTTTGCGTTCATAATTACACAACACAAAATTCCTATACAACAAATTCATAAAAATGGAAATCCTAACAAAATATTCAACACTTGTAAAACTATGAGGTGAAAAAATAGTAAATTCAAGTGGGTGACATTCGTAATTGTGCTACTTATCCATAAATAGGCGGGGGAGCTATCCGGAAGGAACCGGGGATATTTACATTTAACTTTTGGCTCCTTGTGTTTTAAAATTCTACTCCGGTGGGAAAAAATCCAGCTCTCGACTGCAGAAAATATGGAATGATGACACTCCAGCATCAACTCTGACCATATATCTGCGTGAATGAAACGCAACAAAAACAGTTATGCAATCATTAACATTCGCTAGGTGGGAATAGAGAATACTTTACAGTGCAGGTCAACAAGTACGAGCATAAAATGAAAAAGTTCAAAACCTAATTTAAAATGAATTGCCCCATGCAATGGCGATTTTACACGGAGAACAAATTTTTGTGATGTAGTATCTTTTTGAAACTTTTAGCATTAGCACCCGTGGAAAACATGGAAATACGTAATTCAGACTTTTTTTGCAGAAGTTTAAAATGTAGGACTCTTTCAAATCTATTATGAAGAGTGTGAATAAATTGATGGCAACAATGCCAAAAGATATTCAACACTGTTGACAAAAAACTTATTCTGAAACGAAAAATAAAACAATTTCATCGCACAACAAACGCTACTGAAAAATGATATGCGTTGAAATGATCTCCATTTTGTATTTTGATGAATAAATATTCGGTGACTGCGATGTCAAATAATATTTAACATTTGCAAATTTAACGTGGCAAATTGAAAAAAAATCAAAATAAACGATTAAAATGAAAATAAAAAAAGTTGCCAACAATGGGTTTTCCTGTCGACACCGGTGCAATGTCAGAGTGTTTCTTTACCGGTAGGGGAATTCTGGGATAAGAGTAACTGTCTGACAGTAGCGACTGTTATTAATTTATCCTCGCATTTATTTTCTACTCGCAGATTTATTTTTCGTTTTTCAGGACAAAGTTTGCAGACTCCGTGATGAATTTGAACCGACCCCCATTGATCGACAACCTCAATTACATTTCCTTGTCTATAATCCACGACTTTGAAAAACCTTACTTGAACCTTTGATAACCTATATATTCCCGTAAGCGATTTTCCTACCTGGGTATCATACTGCCTTAATTAATTTTAATTATAATTAACGGTACTTTTATTGATTAGTACTTAGTGGTATTTGAAATAATTTGGACGTAATTTGGCTGGCTAGTTTTGGCTTCAATTTGGTGAGTGAAGCAGGTCTAGCCGGCCTCTTCATGCATCCAACTTATTATCAAATTCTTATCCACAGTAGATAACTTCCGTTGGCTAATTCGGTATTAAAGATGGCATCCGCTTCCCTGAAGGTCTAATACTAACAGTTGTCATTGTTAATGTACTTCTCAAAACTTCCTGGTACAAATGGCTCAATTGTCCCGAACTCGTCCTTATTGAAAATTATCATCTGCACTGGCATGAAAGCCAAAGGCTCACCAAAATCACTGTCTACAGACAATCTATTAGTTCTCCTCAATAGCCTTTCTGTGATGTTCTTAACCAATGAATGCATTTGGACAAGTTTTCCAGTATGAGACTCAAGGTCTTGGTTAAATTCGACGCTAACATCATGAATGGCATTTGGCAAATACTTCTTTACTACCATAACTCGACTGCCCATATGTGCTTTATATGCTTGTCGAAAACCATCTTCGCCAAACACAATAGTTACCTTGCTTAAATTTATTTATTTTGGCTGTTCCCATGACATTTGATCTATATCGAAAGCATGAATTTCCTCATGTGTGAGCTTTTTTTACCTACTGTCCCAGGTTTGAGCAACATTCAATCTTTTTGGTGACTTGATCTCACTGCTAACTACTTTTACTAAACTTTAAGTTAAGATATACTGGAGTTTTCATCTACATTAGAATCACTAACTTTGTTAATTGAAGATATAAACCGAATATTGATTACTTTTTTTTAATTGAGCTGAGTTGGGGAGGAGCATGATGGACCCTGTTCGCGAACCAAAACATCACAGCTGCCCTGTGGGAGTGAAAAATGTTGCTCTAGAGATTTTTTTATTGTCGAAATATCAGAAACGTCACCCGTGAAATGAACGAACTCTCTTGCCCCTATTCTTATATACTTCTTTCGGCCTTCCGCTGACCGACTCAGACAACCTCTGCACAGTTAGTTTCTCTGGTACTTGGTCTTTTCCTTGTCTTTTTCAAGTTCTTATTCTTCATTGCTTTTACGAAGTTGCCCCAATGTCCCTTTTCAGCCATTATACTAACTACATGCAAATTAAGTATGGTAATCGTAATGACTGCAAAACTAAAATGTGAATAATTCACATAGCACAGACTTGAATTCAGTAGAAAAGGACTGTGCGCCCAAGGTAATTGGACCCGTTTGTCGGTTCTTGTCAGCTCTGTCAGATCGTACGGTAATGATTAAAACATCAATGCATGTATAACTAAAAAGGCCTAATTGTAATAGACTCTAGCTTGCGGTAATTAATGAAAGTAGATCGAGATACACGCTGTGCTGCATCCTGTAATACCTAAGATTCGCAAAGATGAAGACATGTGGTACCGCAATGATTTGATATTGGCCACCATTGTGCCAATTTGGAAATCAATTAAAACCTCAAGACGTTCTTGTTCAACTAGGATTGACGTCCTCGTTTCTTGAGGAAGCGTTTACACCACTGTTGGGTAAGGCAGACGAAGATGTTGTGGTTGATGTCACTGATTTATGTGTATAGCAGTAGCTATTCCTAATTTGTATTTCGACCTGGTGGAAATTGTCTGAGTTTTGAACGAAGGCATAATTTTGTTTATCAATGTTGTCATGGGTGCATATGTTAACCAAAACGCAATTTCAAAATGACGGATGGTTGTTCTTTCAATCTTCACTTGGCTATTCCTTGCTCTATTGGTTGGATGCTCGGTAACGGTTGAGATAAAGTCTGGTAGATATATGCATTGAAGCAATTTCTATCAAAACATTGAAAACAAAAACTATAGATTGGAACAAATTAATAATAGCACCTTATCCATACCCACCGGAAATATAAAACTCGCGGGGTTTGATATGAAAGCAGTATAAACTACCTTACGTTAATTACAGCTGCTTCGACTATAGATATCAACGCTGAATAGACCTTAGTCATTCAAAACCCATCCCACGCGCGAAAAATGAAAGTGGCATAAGCAAACCGATTTTAACATTAGCTCTTATGGGGAATGTGATCACCAGAGCAGAAATTTCCCTTTTTTGTAATTTTTAGTTATCTTAAATTGTGGACTTGTGCAGGTTTAAGAATAAAATATTTGTTATAACTTTTTTGATGTTTTTACAATGATAAACGTGGTCAAGATTTTTGATAATCGTTCATTGAAATTTTAATGGGCGAAGTGATTCCGCTGGCGTCTTCCTCACTATACCAGGACATTCTGCCAACGCGTTGTTGTCTGTGAAATATGCGCTCCAACTGCTCGTGCTTCTTATTCTATAATAACAGAATACCGGGACTACAACATACCAGGTTTGGCGTTAAGTTTAGGTAGTTTATTCACATTCACGTATTCAGTCAGATTCACTTTACTTTACTGCAGGCCTGCACAACATACGGGCCGCATGCGGCCCGCTAGATACTTCTGTGCGGCCCACGGGTGATTTGTAAACACGCCACTTCTCGGGAATAACAATCAAAGCCGGCATTGTTATGTGCGCCGCTACTCTGATCATATTCGAAATCGTGAGATTTATGTTTTGCACTAGTTTCAATAAATATCGAACTTTGTGTGAAATTGGTGTGCCCTTCGCGACCCCTAAAATGTGTCGCTCGCCCCCTCGCCCCCCAGTTGGAGAAACCTTGATTTAGATATCTCAGTATTCAGACTGAATCACGCTTAAAACAATATCGGTATACAATCTCACACTCATTAGTGCATATTAGCAACCTATTAATAACCCCATTATTTTTTACTAGCAGTTTATGAAACTGAAGTTTATTTTTTGATTCAAATTTAGAACTTAAAAAACAATTCTTTCATTTATGAATGATGCAGAAATTTCTCGCACAAAAGATTTTGCTATTTACTGTAAAATTTCAAATAAATTGGAGCAGATTTTGTAGAAAAATGTAATTTAAAAGTCAAAAAAGTACAACAGAGAAAGATCTATTGCTACTAAACGAATTGTTTGTCTAGCCTACAATGAAAATATCCAATAATGGTAGATATGACTAAATAAATTGTCATACATATATTTGGGACGATTTTACAAAACTGAACCTGGGTAGAATATTTCCCTGCAGTCTGTTTATACTGCAACAGGCAATACATAATTCTAATAAAAAAAAATATTGAAAATGAAGGGTGGGTTTTCAAGGTAGATAAACCACTAAATACATATTTGCCATCTCATATGCAAAAATGCCGTACTCTTGTTTTTACTCAAGAAAATAAGGGACCTCATTAAGTATGCGCATCAAGATGGCGCACAACCTGAATTCATGTTGTGTACCAGGTTAGGGTTCAGGTTATTCGACATCTTGGTTCGCACACTTCAGAAGATTCTTCATATTTTTAAGCTCCCCAGTAATGAAAGTGTTTCATCAAATTTAACTGTTTCACAATATTATTTTGATTTGTAGTTCATCTTGTGAAATAGGTTTGTGGCAAAGTTTGCGGCCCGCCGGGCCTTCAGATTTATGCTTGAGGCCCTCGTGGTAATTTGAATGGTGCAGGCCTGCTTTACTGGCTTTCCGCATATCCTACCGGTGCAGCGAGCGACCTTTCTCAAAAGACATGCTGGCATGTTTTATAACCTAGTTATGATACCGGTACTGTACCGTTATTGAATTAATGTAATAGATTGGAGGTATTTAGCTTTGTTTGTATACAATTTATATTACCTATTGGCTAACATTATGTTAGGATTTAGTTTTCACCCCCTTGGTATTGTACGGTACCGGTAGTATGCACTCAGTAAATGGTTGCTAACTGTACAGGTATTAATGCATAAAACCAGTAAACAAACGCGAATGAAATGATATAGATCAGGGTTGTCCAAGGTTGCGAGGTTGGTGGGCCGTAAAAACTTTTAAAAATGTCTCGCGGGCGCAGTCGGAGACAAACCCAAAAATGATCTAAACATTGCGAATTTACTCACTTTAAATATATTTAAGAATGAGATTTTACCGCTCTAATCAGTTTTTTTGAGGAGGATATTTGAAGCCTTTAGTTAGTAAATTGCTTACCGAGAAATACTGTGGTATGTTCGGTATCTTTGCTCGTGTTTGGTTTTGTAATGTCTTAAAATTATATTCTTTCGTGACAGATATTACTTGAAAACACACCAGACACTATTATGGTTTAACATTGTTGTTGGTAAGGAAATGCGTTTTCTCCCAGTTTACCTCGGTCACCTCATTTATTACACCCCTTGTATGATGAATTGTTATATTTGGCTAATGTTATCACTTGTAGCGTGAGCAGACCAGGTGCTCTTGTCAAAGAAAAACCAAGTCCGTCTAAGTTGGGACTCCGTACCCAGATCAAAAAAACTAGATCGCGCGATGCTAAGTAAGCTCCACGGTTCGTCACTGCTGTCAAAATAGCCAACTATTGAAAATAGAGAAGTGTTTATACTAAAATAAAGGCACATAACGTCTCTTTAAATGAGGAGTTAATTGCCGCGAGCTTAAGATTTGAAGTTTAGATAAAAAGCGCGACTCATCTCAAAGGCTTGGTCCTAGCTGCACAAGACAATTCATTTTCCCAGTACCGATCACAATACATTATTCTCATATAGGCACCGTCTCGGCGTTTATAGATACAATACAACATTGAAATTCCATGATTTTATCAAACATTAATCACGACATAGGGATTAAGAAAAGGACTATTCCCAGTTGAAATAGTTCAAAAATAACTCAAATATTTTCTGCCAATAAATACAAATATCTGCCAATGGTTTATTTAGTGTACGCTGAAAATCCTCCGTGGGCCGCACGGAACGTGTCCGGGGGCCGCATGCGTCGCGCGGGGCGCATATTGGACCACCCTGGTATAGATTATAGACTGTCAATGTTAAACGCGCCCAGTACCCATTACCCAAGGCTACATTAGAGCCGCCAAAATTTTGGTGGACCACCTGTACATAAACGGACTAAGCCTATGCAATGAATTATACGCATTAGGAAATTTATGTTGACAATATACTAAAAAACGAAAGTGATTCTATTTAGTGCGATATCTGGATTTGTTTGCTGGCCATTAACTGTTCCCATATTGGAGATTTACACACGTAACGCGTTTCTTACATTTCGACTACTTCGATATTTCGTTTTGTAGTTATGAATATTGAAAACCAGGCCTCACATTAATAAGATGTTGGGATAGGTAACAATGCCTGTAAACCCTCTGACTCTGGTCTGAGTATTGATTGATGTTTGTTTTGTCAAAACTACTTTTTAGGCATGACCGGTTAGCTACGAACCAGTAGTGAGGTAGTCACGTTCTTAGCGAGATTTATTTTGTTGGAGATATCTTGTACGGACTGATGAGAGACACTCTTATACGGGCGTAGTTGAAACAATTGACTCAGCATTATTGCGACATACTAACATGGCAATTGCTTGTGAAGTCAGACATGCTGCTCAAATGCTTTGTGTTTGTCTGGTTTGCTGTTAGGTGCTGTTTTTAGTGGTACGGTTTGTGGTTAGATTGTTTTAGAAGGGTTTATTACGGCCTTGTCCGTTTTTGTGTCACCTCTCTGCGGACCGGCAGTAAACTTTCCGCGGACCGGTGATGGACCGCGGCCCGGTGGTTGCCGACCACTGGTCTAGGAGGAGAGACGTCAGCGGAAACACCACGCCCATTAAAATTTTAATGTACGATTATAAAAAATTCTTGACCATGTTTATTGTCATAAAAATATCGAAAAACGTCTAAAAATTACCCTATATTCAAAACTGCCCACGTTTACAACGAAGGATAACTAGAAAATCACAAAAAAAGGCAAATTTCTGCTCTGGTGATCACATTCCCCATAAGGACTAATGTTAAAATGGTTTTGTTTATGCCACTTTTATTTTTGCGCGTAGGATGGGTTTCGAATGACTAAGGTCTATCACAGCGAATATTCTGCGGGTGACGTGGCACACGCCCGTGAGCGTGACGCGGCGCATTCCTAAAATAATGGAGACAATCACAAACGTAGTACAGTCATTTATTTAAAAGACATAATGTTATATGGACATTGGGAATACCAAACTTAGTAACATTAATTTTGTATAAACACGCAAATTATGAAATAGTGGGAACAATAACTCTCGTTAGCGTTATTGTAATGCCAGGCCTGATTTACAAAACTTGTTTTTGATTTTCGTTTTGGTTCGAATTTTTAACTTATACCTCTTCTATATGGCACTAAAAATGGCTTTTCTTTGATCTAATAGAATATTGATAGTTACGCAGTCATAATGGAACTTCTGTCGCTTTATTTTCATATATATATATACATAATTCGTTATATATGCTCATAAATGTTTCATCGAACGAGATTAATTGGCTTCCTATTCATTCTCAAATTTGTTTATTATTTGAATTGAAATAATTCAAGACATGAGCAACTTCCAATTCTAATTTAATGTTGATATAATGTTTTCAATATTTTTAAAACTAACGTCGAAGATACAAGGTTTATTGTATAACTTTTTTTGTGTTTTTGCTAACGAAGACTCATGTTCTATTGATACCAATGATTTATGTCATATACCAACATGCGGTTCAAATCGTGAGATTCTTCAACATTTTATAACTTGTATTTTAATATACTATAAATAGACATTAGGATGATGACACAGGAAGTGATAGGAACAGTTTGAAGATCGTTTTCGCATGTGGTAGTGATTAAGTTCCAGCATTCTGTACAAAGGGGATTTTGAAGACCTGATTTTATGTTATGAAACATCTGGTCAAGATTAGTGTCTATGAAACGACGGTACCTTTAATGTTGTTTCAAATGACACATTGGCAACAGTTTTTAGTTGACTGTCAGCAAGTGGTGAATGCGTTTGCCTGAATACGCTGGCGTCGAAGAATATGTATCATCAAGTTTAGACCTACTGTTAGTCCACCATTCAGCTGGAGTTTGAAATCTTAAATTTCTTCTATGTCGAATCAAAGCAAATATAATTGTTATAAACAAAAGTTATTCTATTGTTACTACCTTTGCGTTGTCTAGTACCAGAAGGAGTTAACCTTCTAAAAAGTATAGGAGACTGTTTGTAAAAATCTGTACTGTGAAAATGGTGAACGTGTTATTAGTTTTACAATACTCATTTCATTCACTTGGGTGAACCTATTCTTTTTAGACGAGTGGAAACGATTCATAAAAATACATTTATGTGGGTAAAACGTCAATGTGTAGGTTGTCCGTTGAGATGATATCCGATTTTATGAAAGTTGTTGGTGTTTATTTCGTGTTCATCGGTGTCCTAGGAGAGGGATGTTATGGTGAGTATACTATAGTATAGTAAACGAGTTGGGCGGCCAATTATACCCTTGGTTGTTGTCCTCGTGTAAGGCGAGCGAAATCAGAGATTCAAACCTAATTATATATGTGTATTTTCATTTCAAATTCACAACCTGGATGAGTGGGCCAATAGTGTAGAAATTTTTTGGTTTATGAAGACTTCTGTTCTCTACGGATCTTGTTGAAGCCAACCGTAAATATCGGGGGACAAAAAGGGTACAATGAATTTTGAATTCGTCCAGATCCACGTTAGAGACTATAAATTACTTTCTGGCTTACTGTAATCTACGAGATGCTGTTCTATATTTGCAGGTCACAGCAAAATGTCCGGTTGTCAAGAAATTGAATCGAAACTGAAATTTGTGAAACTGCTTGGAAATTGTACTTTGATGACAAAAAAGCACACAGTGCAATATCCTGCAGCTTGTGTGGTGAAACTGAACGTTAGTACGTCGTCTAGAACCATTTCTGGTGTCAATGTTATCATGGATGCAAAAGATCTTGAAAGTTCTGGGACCAATCCGATCGCTGAAGTTGGACTAATTTCGTCCTCGTATAATTATATTTCCTCTGAAGTAGTAACTGACAATTTCAACACAAGAGAAAGTTACCCACTAACTAATTTGGACAGTATTTTTGTATATGTTCATCATAATAATAGAAGCTCTAACAAATTTGATGCAACATTCAAATATGATATATCTACTGACAATACTGTATTACGGTACAAGAATTGGATAACAAACAATATTACACAAAATTGTGTGATATTTGATAAAAATGGAAAATGGAACTCGCAAACTTGCATCACTGAAGCTTCAAGTATAAACCAAACGGTTAAATGTTCATGTGCTGCAGAGGATGCATCTGTTTTCGGTATTGTGCAAACAGTAGAAATAATGAATGACACTCTGACCATTCATGTTGTCTTGATTATTGGTTTAACTATGGTGACTGTGAGCGGCTGTTTGCTATTCACTGCTATAATACTACTATTTTTCTTTCGGAATCAACTGAAAACACATCGTGTAATAATTCAGCTTGGAATTGCCGGATCGTTACTCGGAAGAGGGATGCTACCTTTACTAGAGGAAATTTCAAAAAATATAAATCCATTCATACCAGAGCTGTGTGAGGTAGTGGCAGTTTTGAGAATATATTTTGATTTAACTGCTGCATGCTGGACACTAAACGAAGGAGTAATTTTATTCATTAAAGTTGGTCTTGCCGGATTCGTGGATTACAATGTTGTAGTGTCAACAAAGCGAATGATTGGGCTAGCCATCTTTACTTGGATGGCGCCAGCACTTTTGGTTGGCATATGGTCTTCGTCTGAAATATTATCTGGAACGTTTATGGGCATTGACATTTTATATGAAGATCTCAAAAACAAAAACACACATTTATCAAAAATGAACAGTACCGAGTTTCACTCATTGCATAATCATCGAAAGTATCGTAATTGTTGGCCATCTCAGCATAGTGAAACGTATCTGATAACTTCTGTGCCATTGATTATTACTGTAGTTGCAAACCTTATTATTGGAGGATATATAATTTGGATAATGTGGAGAGTTGCAGTAACTGATGCCAAATCACAGCCAACGAAAGGCGATGGAAGTCGCAGAAGCTCGGCAACACTATCGGCGAAAGCTGTCGTTTTGGTTACATGGTCGCTTGGGGCGCCATATCTCGTAACTTTATTACTGGCAAAGCACAGTGAATTTGAACCTGTTGCCATAATGGCTCGAGCGATTTTGTTGATTACGCAAGGTCCTCTTATTTTCTTCTTTTATTGCGTAAAAAATACTGAATTGAGAAAAGCCATTAACGTCTGGAAAAATCGTAATAAATTGAAGAGAGACTTAAACGCAGGATCGTGAATAAAATTTATATGCAGTGCTATATCCAACCTTACAAGAGCTGTTTTAACAAAAAAAAATCCTGTTGATAATTTCAGAGCTAATATACAATTTTGTTAAATTTGACAGTTTTGAATATACTGTTATGGTGATATAAAATTAATGCTATAATTTGCCGTTATTCAATTGATTATTAGGTAAAACATATTCGTGAGATTTCAGCAAAATTGTTTGTTGTTGCCTGTCATCAATGTCCAATTAATAGTCTTTTGTGTATCTGTCCATATTTAGTATTATTTCCCAAGTCAGATTCTCAATTAATGTGATTGCCCATGTGGATTGCTATGAACACCAAGATTTAAGAACGTCATCGTCGAATCTTATTTGTGTTTAAATTTTACAAAACCGTGGCATGAAAGTTATGCATTACAAAACTGGGCTGTAAGATTTCGTATCAATTCCGTGTATCGCAAGAATAAATACTAGTCGGCATATGTACCAGTTAAACAATAGAAGTTAGCTATAATGTTTGCTGATACACCACCAGCATAAGCTACCAATAATATGGCTTTTTGGCTCAATTGGCTTTAACTTGTATATAACGTCTAAATTTGTTCCTAATATATAATTATTGCCATCTGAAAAATATATTTTTTTTGATTTTGTTAATTATAAAAAAAATACGATCATTTTGCATATTTTTATTTGATGTAGTTTAGATATGCATTTTTTTTTTATATTTTTGAATACATGAACGTGAGATAAAGAACATTTTATTTTTGCCCGGCTGCGCAAATCACGGATTGATGCCATGATTCAGCGTCCTCATTATACACTCATTTCATGATGTTTTAAATGAAGACTCTTAAATATACGGTTTAAATATAATTGGGGAAATTTGAACGAAGTACATTTGCCTTAACCCATTTTATTTGGCCCTTGCACAAAAACCAAGTCGAGTAGGAAGGTGCACAAATATACTCCTCTCATTGCGTTGAAACAGTCAGCAGCTTGGTACAGAATTGAGGGCGGTAGTCTAATTACTTTACTTACGTTAATCAACCTCAAATAAGTGCACGAAAAGCCATGATTTCGTTTTTGGAGCCAAATGAAATTCATTTTACCAATGCAATCAGGACACCCTATTAGTAATTCTCACGTCAGATTTGATAATGATGGGGCGTTTTACAGTACATGCATTACCTCCCGATTTACATATCGCACCACGCAGTCGCGTGTTACAACAAGACGAGGGTTTCTATTAACCATGCTGAAGTGTGATCATAGGTTCATCCTCAAAAATATAACTTTAAAATCAACAATTGCTGTTAGAATTACGCGTGCCAAAAGTACAAATTTGTGGATTATTTGATAGAGTTTTTGAGCTTTGACGTTCTATCGACGAACTAAATTTGATTCGTAAAATGGATTTCATTTGGCTCAAAAAACGAAATCATGTCTTTTCGTGGACTTATTCGATCGTTTCCACACATGATTCACAAGAGCATAAGGACATGCGTCGATAGGATACGGAATTGCAAAGGTACTTCGTACGCAAAGGAAATTCTATTTCATTTCGTATTTAAACAAATCCAATGAGATTCTGTTGTCATTGTTCATTGGATTTCTTTCTATCTGTGGAATCAGTAAGTACATTATTACCGTTAAATTACAAAAAAATCTATAACATTAATAGTTCATTTTATATGAATCAATTATTTTTTGGGGAAAACTATACACATCTAATAATGCTTTCGATTAGCATTTTGACTTAACGTAAGTAGTATAATATGTTAAAATGTAACCCGTTGATGTGTGAAATGGACACCTTACTGTCTCATACTATCGTGGATACATATTATTATCATACTTCATCCCAACTAGGGTGATTTTATAATGATAATGAATTATAAATAAATTTATACGATTCTGCGAAACAGGATATTCATGTTGCAGTATTCCTACGCATATCTCAATTTTGAGACAATGAACACATTGTTCGAATTTTGATATTGTTTTAATTTAATATGTAGCAGATGTTTTTATATCCAATATGTTACTTTGAATGGGCTCCACAAACTCTAGCAGTTCGTCGGTAAGGATAGTCGGGAGGCAAGTTTAGTTCCAGCATGCGAAAATTGCGCATTTAATTGGCAAATTCGTAGCCACAAATTATATATTAGCATCTTAAATGCAGTGCCGGGAGTAAAACGAAGAACAAAAATTGAAAGATGACATTGATTTAGTCGTGGAATTTCGAGTTTAATGATTCAACTAAGAATAATGAATTCATCCAGGCGTTTCTACAGTGGTGGGCCAAATAATTAGATTATTTACCATTTTTATTCTTATTCCAGCGCAATTCTGCTTATGTCTTATAAATCTCAGCAGCAATATACTCAAAACGTCGATATGGCCGCCACGTGGACCTACGGATTTTGTGATTGTTTTGCAAACATGTCATTGTGTGTGATTACGTTTCTTGCCCCTTGCTACACTCTCGGAAAAACGGCAGAAAAGGTCGGAGACAACTGTTGCTGGTGTGGAATGTCCTACTTGTGTTGCTGCTGTATTCCTGCAGGAATAGTTCGAAGCAAGATTCGTGAGCAGAAAGGAATTGAAGGCATGCTATTGACCGACTTTCTTGCACATATGTTTTGTCCTCTCTGTGCCCTGATTCAGGACGCACAAGAAGTGTGTGCTATCACCGATGGAGCAGGGCTATCGATGGCTCGAGAATAATTTTGAACTTCATATCTTTTTGTTATTGAAAGCTTTGGACCAAATTAAAAAATATTAATTTATATGCGGCCGAGTACGAGCCTGAGATGACGATCATCTATGGGTGTGACCCATCGCTGACTCTTGCTCTGCAAAGTTGAATTTCTGATTGAGTATACTACAGTTTTTAATATTTTAAATTATTGTGACTTAGTTTTGAACGAAAATTATAATACAAATATAAAGTGGCCAAATTTGGTGCAATTGATTAAGGTTTCATATTTTTCAAGTTATTTAAAAAACACCAAGTGAAGTAACATAAAGGTATACTACCAATTTTAACAGTCTTGATATATCTGTTAGAAATGTATGTAGTACATTGTTGATAATTTTGGAATGAAATAATATTATACTTATCAAAAGTAAAAATTTTGTGTCAGATTATTGTTCAACTGTTATGAAAATGATGCCGGGTATTGCCCCTATTGTAGAAAAGGCAAAAAGGTTTTGTGGAAGACAACATCCAAAAAAGAACATTCCATCCAAATTAAATTATAATCAATTAAAATTCATCAAATTAAACACCTGTTATCCCAGTCGAAATAATGTGCATCCAAACACAAGGTCATTGTCTTCAGTCAAATGACAAGACCGCAAAAGGGAGTGTGGTTTCCAATTAGGTTCAGTGTCCCTATTAGAGAATTTCTTTCCTTTCATGGCACGATTTTTGATAGCCGAATTTATACTATTGTTACTAATTTAATTGCATTTTAGATCTTTGAGTATCAAACAAAGGTTTTATATGTATCTACAATATTCTAGATGATATTTTGAAATGCACTCAACTTTATTTTGTTTTCAGCTTCATTCTAAGTATCGAAATTAACATATGAGTTAAATAAGTACTCATAGCATCTACCAAACTCTGGATCAGTAATGTCCCTTGCTAATCTACAAAAAATGAAAAAATAAAATTATACGCGGAGTGAAATAGACATAGATATATGATCCCAATCGTCTTCTACGTAGTCTTATAAATTGTAAATATTGAGGATTGAATAATAAAATTCACTTTCCCTCTCAAAACTTATCGGTTATGAACTATCACCCAGCGGTTAAATATAATTATGATTTTAGCGGTATTGTATTGATAAGCTATACGCTCTTCATCTATCACAAGCAGAGCGTATCGATGACTTCTGATACAACTATGACAAGTCGGGCGTAGAGAGGAAGTCGGTCTATCATTAAGGCCTCAGTTAAGCCAGGCCTCCAAACTAGCATACGCGTTCTGCAACACAGAGATGCGGAATGCAACGGATGCATTTGGCTACGCGTTTCCTTTACACTAGGCTAGTTAATCGAATTTGTGGACTGAAGCGTTCCAGGCAAGATGTGATAATATGCCCATTCTTACGCGACAACAAGTATGTGCTGTGGCCTACACGCATCATGCTATCACGTCGTTTGGAGTAGATTGGCATATTAATGATGGAAAGTTTGAGTTACTCAGTCTTAGCAAGTAAATTAGCTTCAACTAGTTTACAATGCAGAAAGTTTAAGGAGGTGGGTTTGGCTACATGATTGGCCTCGCCACCAGTAATAATGGGCAGTATAATATAGCACAAAATTGAATTAATTTTTCCGCGCAAGATTTTATCAAGGCTTCCGTCACGGAACACTAGAATTCGTATTATCGTGATGAAGTAAATTTTGGTCAACGTGAGACTGGACATGAAGTTAGAAAGTAAGCGTGTAAGGTAGTACGCCGGGATAATAATGTGAATCCTATATATCCTATCCTGCACACGGAATATATAACAATGAAATATACCGCCAAAGGGCAGCAAACTTTCGGAGTCGTCATCCATGATTAAATAAACCTACGTAGAAAAATACTGTCACATCATCACCGCGTGAGGCAGTTTCTTTAAACTAAATCGTTAAATAGTTTAACCTAAATCAAGGAATGTTTTCACGAGCATCGACTTCGTTTTTTTACTTCTGTAACACATGATAATTAGCGAGATACAAAATATGACGTAACAATAAGAAGTTTAGTAGCTGCTCAGACTAGTAGCTGGTAATAAAACATAGGTAGAATTTTCCTCGGGTCAAAGGTCGGGAAATCATCCCTAAGCTAGATCGGGGTGTTACCTGTTCTTACAACTTTATCTGCGCACTGTGGCCCAATGTCATTGAATCACACGGCTAATTAGAGCCGTTACATCAATCTCGACAGTAAAGGATTGTGTGTGCGTGACGCACAATCGTGCGAGGGCTCTTCGTTGGCACGGTGCAGTGGACTTACACTGGAGAGTTTTTTGGTCCTATTAAAGTCAGAAACGGTATTTTTATGTTCTAAAAGCGTGGTGCGCGATTGCAAACAACGAAGGCCCAGCTGTTGTTACTATATGGTTTGCCTATTTTGACATGCCAAACAAAAGTAGGGTTTTCAGACCGAGAAAAAACATAATATGGTCATCTTTTTCAGTTCTTCAAGTTTACGTAACTTTTCTGAATACGTATTTTATCCACCATCACTGTATTCTTCAATACTAAATATGAAGTATTGTGAACTGCTTGTTTTCTGAAGTTTGACTTTTTTTAAACGAAAAGTTACATAATAAAGTTTGTGAGAATGTGACTCCAGACGTTCGCACTATTAAATATATGTATGTTAGCTGGTGTTGTTTTCAGATTCACTTGTATAATTATCTAATCTATAATTTAATGCAGTATTCACGACTGTAAATTACTCAAATGGCTCAATTTACAAACGGGCTGTGTGGATGTTTCGATAATATTGGTATTTGCATTGTTTCCTATTTTGCGCCCTGCTACACAACTGGAAAAACTGCAGAAGCTCTTGGTGATGATTGCCTACTTTGTGGAGCTGCGTATTTATTCATTCCCTGTATCATCGGCGGAATCCTGCGAGGAAAAATTCGAGAGAGAAAGAACATCGATGGCAGCCCATTAGAAGACTATTGTATTCATCTATTTTGTCCAATATGCGCCATCGTCCAAGACCACCGTGAAATAGCATACGTAACTGTAGCTTCAGGACAGTCTATGAGTCGATCGTGATTTAGATGTCTTTTTACCGAAATATGCAAATTACTCAGAAAACTAATAAAAAATATATATATAATTTTAACTTCTAATTGTTCAAAACGCGAGATCGTGTCATTTGCACTGACGCAATAAATCGAGAATAACGAGGAAACAGGAGAGCAATGCTCAAATACAAATACTGTTTATGAACACGCTGGTCAAATGACTAACACCAGTACAACAGTGGCCTATGAGACCGAGGTTTCACAAATTAAGCCACGTCTGTAACAATACTGACAAAGTCACAAAGGTTACACTGATCACAGAGTTTGTGAAAAAGATGACGGACTAGAATGTCGGAATACCACGTGGTGGCGCAAAATTTGGATTGAAATATTGAATCCCAAGGGCCTCTGACATAAGTTATCGCAAAGCGATCCATTTGTGCACTTCTATTCCAATAAGTAGGACAAACATCAATATAACTTCGAAATAATGATAAACTTCTGATCAATCCGGATCGTTATGGGACACAAGTATGTTGCGACTGTAGGACTGGAAACGCACATTTGAAATTACGTCAACATACAAACTGCGTCAGTCTCCAAACATCGCTGACAAAAGCATTTCTCATTTTATGGTTTCATAGTAAACCTATCGATAATTGTTTCGAATATCAGTCATAAGTAAATTTTAATATTGATTAATTCAGTGAATGAACGTTGATAGATCTAAATATGATATAAATATATATTAACACATACCCTATCGAGTCTACGGCACACTAACCTTTCAAAATATGAACGCATGTTATCCAACATTTCCGAAGGGTACACGTGCTGTCGTTTTACTATTTTATACCATTCGATTTTAAATCATGTTTTACAAAATTTATAATTTTATTATATAGCAAAATTACTTTTAAACTAAATCCAAATGCCTTTTGTTTAAAATAAATAAATGAAGTGCAAATGTGACTTTTGTTTAAAATATGTGCATCTTCCATAAAAACAATTTTCGACTTGAGCAAGTCTTACTGTCACGGATGGCAATCACAAAGACATAAAAAACATATACGAAACAGAGAAAATAACGATTATTTCCCAAGATTGTATTTTGTTCCCAGCGCTGAATGTAAATGTAGGAGAATATGATACAGAAAAATAAGTTAAATTTGCATTTTAAAGTAGTATAAATTAGATAAAATTTGTGGGGGTTTTAGTTCCATGTAATGTGTAAAAATGGAGAAACAGTCAGAATTTGGCTAGTGTTGGTGCAATGTAGATAGTTATTTTTCAACAAAGTGTTTTTGTGCTATACCCCGCTCCTAGCTAACTGACGTGGTGTAGTTGATTGTTTGCAATTTGTTGGCACCTTTGATAGACACTGTTTTCTTCAAATTCACATTACCCTTTCCATCAGTTTTTTTGCTATTCCACGCGTCGTTTTCCATGTTCGACTTTTCTTGAATGGCGTTTAGTTTTTTTACTGAAAAATTTCCTCGTCTAATCATGCGTCTCGCTTGACTTCTCGGTGGCATTTTCACGACTTCGATGATACCTTCTGGAGGAGGAGAACTAGAACGACTGGATGATACCTCACTCCACTCCTGTATTTGGGAGAAAATAAAATAGTATATTTTCTTAAATATATATTTCACTAAATTATATTAGGAAATGTTCCATAGCTTGCCAATGGTGACAGCCTATGTCATTATAAAAGGCATTTAATAGAAATTTTATGTTGTTTAAAAAGGTATTTGGCAGAAATAAAGAAATCTACTGTGGGTCATAGCTTCGTATTGACAAGATGTGGTTCCCTGGTCTAGGCTATGGCGCCAGTAACTACGCCAAGTGTTAGCCTATAGACTTTTACCAGTGTACCATTGCTTTCAATGGCCGTAGCGTAACAATCTGTTCAACCAATCCATGGTCTGTTAAATATGAAAATATGATATTTTCTTTTCTTCTTTATTTTATTACCTCAAGTATTATAATAATAACACAAGTGAATGTAAGAGTTTTAAAAATTGAATATTTCTTTACTTCTTGTTTATTCATGCTATTTCATAAAACTAGCACATACCTTCCACTGTATTCCTCCATTGACTGAAAATGTAAATTCTAGACCGTGCATATCAAATTTTGGAACAGATTTCGGAATATTAAAAACAGTTTTCGGATCAGGTGTTTTCATGAACGCTTCTAACCTCCGTTTATGTAGTCTTTCTGACTTCAAAACTGTCAATAGAAAATGTTTTTACAGCTTCCATTTATTTACTCGATATTTTTGAGCATTCCTGATGTATTAAAAGGTAATGCCATGTAATAATATTTGATCAGTAAACGAAGTGATGGAAACCAGGTACTCCCGATTTTCATAATTCATCTTACGAGTGACGTCATTGCCGTCATTGCCTAGTCAAGTTAATCTCATGTTTTTATTGTATCAATAACCATCGTAAAAATGACAACAGTTACCTGGTCTTTTCTCATCTCGTTCAGCAAGAGGACGAGCGGAAGCGAATCCGGCCCAGAATGGAAGGAGTTCGTTGAAAACTGTGTGTTGCGCATCATCAAATAAAGTTGACGTGTGAGGTTGCCGTCCTTTGTCATTTACAAAACTATCCGCTGCCCTTCGTAATCTCTCGGCAGTTCCAGTTTTTATATCAATCTTTAATATAGAGTTGAAAGTTGTAAAATTTAGAAAAAAAATGTACGACGCGCCTGTTATACACCTCGAAGTAAGAAATGAAGAAATTAATCTCCACAAAGACACGAAAATATCACGCAACCAGAATCGAAGGTACGTATTCACACTTATATTACACATCAGTATCACATTGCATTTTTATACAAGACAGATATCCCGACCATAAATTACCTGCAGAGTTGGTTCCATTGCCGATGTAATGAAACAGCCTAAAATTGATTGAATTTTTCGCTTTAAAGTTACCAAATCGTATGTCTCGTGAAAACAAGCGAGAAATTTTGAAACTTCAACGTAAAACAGCAAATCGTTGTGTATCAATGGAAAACCTTCTTGACTTCCAAAACCCTGAAAACAGAACAGTACTTTTGGAGAATCAAATATATTATACTATAGTTGTTGCTATGACAATAAACTTTTCTATTTATTTCAGTTTGATAATTTCTGATTGGTTTACGACCCTGGTACCAAAAACTCATTAACAGTTGATTGAAGACATGAATTCAACTAAACCAGTATTGTTATTGATCTCTCTGGAAATTTATTGTTACCTCAAACACACCTGCAAGTATTTATAAAAATGCAATAAATCTAATGGTAAATCGCCTTCTGCAGCTCTTTGTAATGCATCCATGAACGTTTGTTTGTGATCTGTATTAGGAGGTTGTCTTGCAGAGTGTTTACCAAGTGCTCGTCTACGCTTACTACTGGGTTTGAGAGTCAGCGTTCTCAGAGCAAGTTCGGCTTTTGTTGAGTTTTGAACGAGATCACTTCGAATGTCAAGTTTATATTCCTGAATGAGGAAAACAAAAATAATATAACAGAGTTTAGAAAAGTAATTCTTGAGTTGAAATTTTGTTTAATGCAGTGATACAATTTAATAAACTAATCCTGTAACGAATATATCTCAATCTAAAAATAATCAAGTTGGCATAGCGTTTTTCCGTATATAATGAAATTGTGCAGTCTTCTAGTCACTTGTCTCTAGACACATTAAAAACGATTACCATGGCGTCAATACCTTTTCCTCGATGAATGAAAACGTTACTTAGAGTGCCTCCGACAGTCATCATTGACGATGTCGTATTCATAAGTTGCGCCGTTAGGGTTTGAAAACAAATTTTTTGCAGCGATGCATCTTGACAAGCTATTCGTATTCGTTGAAACAGATCGAATATGATGCGTTCCTAATATATCAAAAACCTAATTAAATTAACAGTCACCTTTAGAGCCGCGCTAAAGCCAATGGAGAAGTTTGCTGCTGCCTGATTGAGTGTTGGAACGACATATAGTTGCAAGGCTTCAGTTGCTTCCATAGAAGGATTGGGAAGTTCGTTCATAAAAGGAGATAAAAATTCCGACGACATTGCAATTTGTTTAGGTCCTGTAAAATTGAATATATAAGTTGACTATATTCTTACTTTGAAAAGACAGTGGTACTTTCTAGATCAAAGACACATTTAAAACAGAATTTATCATTGCAACCAAACGCCCAAACAAATAATCACATTATTGAGTATTTGTAATAACGTCGACAGGTAATCAGAAAATTGTTGAATCCAACGTACTCTATTTTTTTGGAAAATTAATCAACTGCTTGCTGATAACGCCGTATTGGTTATTTCTTTTTAAAGTAATGACAAATTATGTCTTCAGTTGATTGGTTGGTCAATACCTCTAGGACTAGGTGATACATGCAGCTATTTTCCGTCATATTTAAAAAAAAAGGATTGTTCTCGTGATAATGATACCATTGCTTGTGATCACATTTTGTGTAAAACTCACATAGTTTTAAATCAAATTACATATTCGTAACATCCATCCATCCAATCAACATACCTGATGAGCTTAAATAAGTACGTGATATTTCATTTGCGAGAGCTGATCTTCTATCTACTTCTGTCATTGGAACAGATCGCAGTGCTTCACACAAAGCGTACATTTGAAACACGTTTTGTACCTGAAAATGATAGATTTATTAACTATTCTTTATATACTTCACAAGGAAAATCGCACAAGATATTTGGAAATTATTATCAGTCAAACAAAACTTTTTTGCGATGACGTTTGCCCGTTTGGTGTATATGTTTTCATCGACATTATGAATTCTTCCGTATAAAAACATATAGTTTCATACATGGGTGTTAAATACCAACAAATTAAGCTATAACAATTGTACATTATTCGGCATGTAGACAAATTGTTCCTCTATCAATAAGGAAAATTCAAGAATCCATCACCCACCTCCATGCTCTCGCACTGAGCTACATATTTTCGAAAGTACATATGTAGTTTGTTCTCTTTTATCTCCTGATAATTCATTCTATTAGGATGTCGATGTAGAAGTGATTTCTTTTTCTTTCTTTTATTCTTGTCTTCTTCACCGTCCCCTTCATCATCACCAACTTCCCCTTCTTCTTGATTTCCTTTCTCTCCATTTACTCGGGATGGACTACTAGAATCGGCTTTGTCAGGAAGACTAAATTGCACCTTAAAGAATATTAATATATACACAATTAAAGAAAAATTGCATGTATAAATTTTTTTTTGAATTGTTGGATAGAAACAATACTGTGAAACACTAAATAATAGTTTGCATGACTATACTACTCTTCATAGGTCAAATGATGCTGAACATCTATCTTGTGCCATAACTAGTGTTCAATAAGAGAGATTTTTTGAATAGGTACATTAACAATTACATGCATTATAAAACTGACACATTCATATGAAAGTGTAGGAGGTAAAATCAATCACCAATCCCAAAATCTCTATCAAGTGTAAAAAGGCAACGCATTAATCTTTGAGACTATAAATAAAATTGCAACGTGAAAATTCCAATGAATGAATTTTGTCGATGTTGTTGCTTATCATGATTTTACCGTTTTGCTCAAACGCTTCCGTCAAAATAAACCTACTTTTGTCTGCTTTTTCTTCGATGTTTTTGATGAAACTGATTCAACGTCATGTTCTTTTGTTGCCTTATGTTGTTCTGATACCTTAGTAGATTTTACGGCCGTTCCAATCCTTCTTCTGATTGGAGGAGGTTTTTTATGAGGTGTTCTTTGAGGTTTCTTTGCTCCTCTTTTTCGTATGATTGAAGCTATTTGTCGTATTCTCTCAACATCATAAGAATACATTGTACTTGCGGAGTCAGTTTCTGTTGTGTCATCATCTATAGACCGAGAATACAAAATCGCAGTTTCTATTTCGAATTTTTTATTATGAGGAAAGCTTTGCACTGTACTGTGCTCATTGTAATACGATATTCATTTTCTGATGACATTTATCAGCCTTTGAAATTTGAATATACTAGTGAGTTTAGTGAGAATTGTTTAGAAAATTCACTATTAAATTACTATTAAAAATCGTTTTATTTTATTATTTGTTGGCAGGTCAAATATCTGCAAAATATTCAAAAATACAACCGTTGTTTATGATGTACATTGGCTGTGTTTTTCAAACAGATTACTGACTATCAGAAACAGAAAAAACACTTAATAATACCTGTTAACCACGGCTTGCTGAAAATTGTGGTCGTCTCACTCAACGTGGTACTCATTTCGTCAAATTGTTTTGTTTGTTTCTTTATTTTGGGCGACGATGCCCGCGGTGGCGTGACAGACCTATCGTCACCACTGGAGGAATATGGACGACCTTCTCGAGCTCTGTGGCAAAACAATAGTTTTCAATCTGAATGCCTGATTCTAGAGTATTCTAAGTTAGAAGCCAATGGACAAAAAGTGACTGATATCAAGTTTTTATCAAGTTTGCAAGCGAGCTATAGCAATAAACGTGACTCTGAATTTTGTATTCCGGGCTCTGAGGTATAGTTATTTAAACAACGTTGCTTTGTTTAACCCGACTTCCAGCTCGAATAGCCTACTGTAAATCCTAAAAAATATTATTGTTGAATTACTCACTCGAAGAAATCTCGATTTTCATGCTTGCAATATTTCTTCCAACACTCAGACAAAATATAAAGTGCATGTAGTTTTGCGGGTCGGAATACAGAGGAAGTGATGTTCGACCTTGTGTCTTAAATAAATGTATAAAGTCAAATCTAAGCATGAATACACTGTGGTATATGGTGCTGAATGGCGAGCCAACTCTTAAAACAATTCAAACAAAGACATAGACATTTTTATTCCATTATATATGGCGTGTTTCAAGACATCAGGGATGGATTGTATAGCGAAATAACTGGTAATTGAATCCGAAAGTTTTCTGAAAACCGAATATTGTGGAAGATTAATCTTGGCGATTTTTATATTTTCGCCCAATATTTCAAGCCATAATTTCTAATGAAATGATTAAAATAGTCAATCCAATTACCATTTTCCTCTGTCAATGCTCGGCTTAACAAATTCTCCAACGACCGTGCATAAGAATGCATATTTTCCGGTAAAGTCAAACTTCTGGGTGCATCGATTGGCCAAACAAAATTGCTGAACATTTTCCACGCTTCAATTACTTCCAGAGGGAAGTCCGCTAAAAAATCAGTTCAATATTTAGTCGCCGTATGTTACCGAGCAAACAACCAAATTTACGGACAAGCATAAACCCTACCTGCCGACGAGCTTGATTTTAAAACTGCCATTGCCCTTGTAAGTTTATTTTCACCCTCTCTAGATTTTTGACTTGCAAAATGTTCCAAGGTAACCCAAAAGTCATAAGCGTTCCGAGCGGTCGCCTCTTTCGATCTGAGTTAGGGAAATAACGAATGAATTAATAGTAATAAATCACCAAAATAGCTACACAAGTACGAGGTGCGGCTAAAATGAAACGGGACTGACGTCACAGATTGCGCAACACGATTAACCATCGGTAATCAACACTTTTGCAGTGTGGCGTAATATGTGTTCTTTGTTTAACAGCTGTTTTGACACAATATCGCAATTATTTTTGCTTTTCAGGATCCATAAGTGAATGTGATAAATTTCTTGTTGAAAAAAAAAAATGCTGTGCGAGGTCTGATTGAGTTTTTTAGCGATAGGGGACACAAAATTTAATGTTAATTCTTTGCTCAGTCGTCATTCTTTAATTGAACCCCCTATCGCCAAAAAACTCAATCAGATCTCGCACGGCAATTTTTTTAACAAGCAGTTAATCACACTCACCTATGGCTCCTAAAAAGCAAAAATAATTGCGATATTGTGTCAAAACAGCTGTTAAACAAAAAACACATGTTACGCCACACTGTAAAAGTGTTGATTACCGATGGTTAATCGTGTTGCGCAATCTGTGACGTCAGTCCCGTTTCTTTTTAGCCTTACCTCGTAGGTCTGAGAATTTCAGTGAAGACACGTTAACCGTTAACCAGGTAAAATTACCAGGTTAACCGCAGCATGACGTTGGACGTAAAAAGTTAACACTTAGGCTTGTTACGTCACCATGGTTTCAAAGCAATTTCGCAGTTTTGGTCCATTGGAGACTGGATCGGTGGAAAGGTTATAGATCCAGATTTAAATATGTAGCGAAATGGCGCGGAAATATATCTGTGTACAAAATTCTATTTTGGAAGGGATATAGCCTGCACGTTGTTGTTACACAATGAATTAACTTACTCAATTATGTATCGTCGGAACGGGCATCCTGCATCAGCTTCTGAAGCCAAAGCTCGCAACAAGAAATGATGATAAGCAGATTTTGCTGACATTACTCGGATTTGTGCTGTTGTCGGACGATCAAGCATAGCAGCATTTTCTTGGTTAACAGACTGCAAACAAAATATTGTATGGCAAACGTGGGAACATACTTATTTAAATAATTTTGGCAGAAATTATATCATGAGTTGCAAATTAGGTTATTGTCATTTTACTTGAGAGGACATGTTGATTTTTTGGACCTCCAGAAGTATGTGCACCAAGATGGCTCACAACCTAAACATAGTATGTGTACCAGGTGAGGGTTCAGGTTGTGTCACATACTTCGGGAGCGCCGACTTTTTTATATAAATATGTATATTTGCTTAATTCTACATTGTGGACAATTCAGTCAGGTGGTAAACAAAATATTCAAACAACAAACGAGTTTTCCCAAACACTTACCTCTAGCGGTCTGACCGCAATATTTTCACCATCTCGAAACGAGGAATTTTCGTAATTTAAATGAGAGTTTGGTACCAGATGCCCAATAGTAAGTAATGGTAAAAACGTATATCGAAATGTTGAAGAGTTTCGTGATGAGCAGTCAACATCCCAGGTACCTAGAACACATATTCACATTCTTCAATAAACGCGCCATCAATTTCAGGTTATTTTTATCTATATATGAATAAGTATGGCGAATAATGTACCTTGGCTAACTCCCCATATGAATGCAAAAAACTATGTTGAGAGTCATTATGAAAAATCAATCTGGCAACGGTTATCTTTAACTATGTATGAATAAGTATGGCGAATAAAGATACCTTGGCTAACTCCCCAGATAAACGCAAAAAGTTATGTTGAGAATTATTATAAAAAATCAATCTGGCAAATACATGTTGACTCAAAATAACCTGTCTTCAATGATTCTAATAGGAATAAAACTTTGTGGTATTTTGGGTGCGCTGCTATAAGCTGCAACGGTTGTTTCACCTTCGACTGTATAACATTATTACCGTAACAATAATTACAATAAATATATCATTTCGTTCACCTGTTGAAAGACGTTTTTCGAAATCTGCTCTGGTGCTACAGTGAACAATATATCTTGGAAGCCAGTAAGAACGCAAACGTCGTAATGCGTCGTATTGCGTACGTGCAAAAACGTGACACGTCAGCCCAACATTGCTCTGTAAGAATATTTGCAAATCGTACAATTGATATTTTTGGGGCATTCAGTATATTTAATTTGTTATTACATTGTATAGGCTACCTGAGCTTCCCTTATTTGTTCTGTTGCTTCTTCACTGAGAGTAAATTTATGTCGATCTAAAATTTCACGAAATAATCGATGTCGCCAGGCTAACATAACTCCGTCATCAGTGACAACAGAGGATATGTTCGACGAATCTGATCCATCATCCATATCATTCAAATCTCTAAAAATAATAAATCCAAAACACGTGATTTTACTTGTTTTTTATACACATATGTGGACCAACTTATGCAGGAATAAGCATGTAAAATATACCTACTCGATACATAGACACCCGAAGCTTTATAGCGTGACCCAGTTGGCATGAAACAATTTTTTTAGGTAGTCAGACCACTTGTAATTAGTTAATTTCTACTGTCCGTGCGTATAACTGACTTGGTGTTGTTGCCAACTTATCTGTATTCACTGGCATTAACATTTTTTTGAAATATTGGATATTGATATATTGTAAGTACGAATACTAAATGTGCATTTCGGTTCATATGTCGTGGTCTATAAAGATTTATTGTCTAAGCCACTTTGTCAGAATATCATGATGATATTTTCTGTAAACCTTATTTTGATTTGATGTAGACGACGGCTCAACCAAAAACTCGAAATTCTATACCTGACATGAGCAAACTACGGCCCGCGGGCCAAATCCGGCCCGTTGGGCAATTCAATCCGGCTCGGCTGATACTACCACAACCAAACTAAAACCGAATTTTGATGTTTTAGAATTAGATAAATAAAAATAGCACAAGGAATTTGTTGAGATTGCGATCAAATTTAGTTTGGGCACGAGACTTATTGATGTCCACTTTTGTTTTTGAAACACTGTGAATATTGTTCGTAAAATGTAACTTTCCGCGTCACACTTACATGGCCCGCCGGTCTAGGTGGGCAAAATATTTGGCCCCTGGTACAAAAATCTTGCCCACCCTGAAAGAATATACCCAGTAGTTTAGGTTCAAAATCACGATTCTGGAATGACTTACTTTCTAGAATTGTTCGTATGATCGAAAGCATCCTTGAAAGCTTCAGCATCCAACCAAAATAAGATAAGATAAATTCCAGCGGTATCAGACAGGAAATTTAACAAGCTGTCTACTCCCTCTTTCTGGCGAAAAACAAAAAATGTACAAGAATATTACTACGAAAGCATAATTAGCGAAACAAGAGCAAAACTCAAATATATGACATAAATGTCAATTTTCTCTCAACAACAAAAACGGTCGTTTTGATAACAAGAAGATAAACAACAGCAATTAAGCAGCTTAGTTAAAATAATTCAATTGTTAATAAATTGCAAAACACTAAAATTCCAATAATTGACACAATACTGGATAAATCGAGTGACTTTTATTGCTAATAAAATTATTCTAGGCAAAAATAAATATTGGCCTGCGTAAGCACTATTGGTATAAAGAAAATTGATGTTTATGACTTGAATTGAGCAGGTTAGAAGTGACCAAGTATTGGAATATTGCAATAACGCATTAGGTATATGAGATTGAAGATTTGGTCCGTAACACGTGTCATTATTTGAGCAAAGGTATTAATCAATGACCAGTTGTTACTCGGAGTTATACTGTAATTGGGAAAATAAGATACATCTACAATATGTAACCAAATTGATGACTATTAGTTAATTCAGGATTTATTATAAACAATGCTAGGCCAACTAGGAGACACGAATTCTGCTCGCGATATCATTAGCCACTTACAGATCCCAAAAGCCTTTCCTTGATATGTTGAAGCTTCATTGAATGAACTTTCTGAATGGATTCAATTTCAGTCTCAGTTTCATCGCAAGATGAATCTCTATCGTCAAACTCTAAAAATCCACTCCCACCACCATCCTCATCATCATCCACTTCTTCCATGTCATCATCTTCGTCATGGATGACGAAATCACTTGCGTCATCGACAGAATATTGATCTCCAGTTGGTTTAAACCTCAAGAATAATTTATTTTCATATTCAATACAAAATTATGTGATTGAGTATAAGATGACGCATCCTAAACCCTCAACTACCCGGTGCTAATAAACAGATAAAACTCAAAATTGGAAAGTATTTTTACAATGCAGTAACTTCCACATCTAGATAACTGTTCAATAATAAGCTATGGGACACAAATTTCTGCCTGATTATTAACTGTATTATAAGTTCTATAGGTAAACATACCTCATTGGTGTGTCTGATATTACAACGTCAGAGTTTTTGCCCGTCCTTGGTAAAATTATTGTTGCTCGGTGAGGCTTACTTGGAGAATCTGATGTTCGAAGTGCGCTCTTCCCTTCATATTGATGACCTCAAAAAGAGTTTTTTAAAACAGAGAATTGTATTAAAATGTTATTTAAGACATGGTCAGAACATTTATACAAGGCCACTTATACAGAGTTGATTTAAAATTGCTATCGACGGCAACTCAATCACACAAATTTTGAAGTAATATAGAATAGTTTTTATTGTTTATCTCGGGGAATGTACACGGCTACCGCAGGATTCGGATGGACGTTTTCCGCGAAAGATGAGTGTTGTAATGGCGAGCATAATTCTCCAACTGACATTTTACTTTCAGTATATTTTTATACAGCAAAGACAATTGAACAGCTTTGTGTTTCGTAGTCCACCTGCACAAAATAATTTACTCACCAGATTTATGTGCAGATGTGGAAACAGCGGAACGAAAACCATCAGCTGGTAACGATGAATATGTCATGGCGGTTTGAGTTCTCGTATCAGGTGTTCTGGTACTGTACCCTGCTTCGCTTTCCCAGCGAGATCCCACCCCTAATGTGTCAGCTCGTGTGCCAATATTTCTTGTTTTTCCACTTGTACCTACAATGAGAACAATATTTTATTGAGATTTCGGTGGATTGGATGGAATCAGCCACAGTATAGGAAAACAAAATCGACCACTCAGACATCTTATATTTGTTATAGATTTTTAAAACATTCTGATATACGAGTGTATAGGTTTGAATCTGATTAGCAAAATTTGCTTCTTTGATATAAATCGTGAGAATCCTACGCGGTTTAGATAATTTGAATATTAGTCAGATTGGGCGCAGTTTCAACATTGTGGCAAATGTTCACGTAAATCGACTGTATAATAGCCCATAACGCTTCCTATTTTGTGATAATTTGTTAGCATTCCGGGAGATTGAAGTTGTGAGAGTACTGACTACTGACAGCCATTATGGAGCACAAATATATCAGGATAGCGTGTGTTTCACTGAAGTCTAACTAACAAAACTTCTATGGTATTGCAATATAGATAGTAAACGTCGCATCTAATACAAAATGCTGCATAGACTTATGAAAGGTTTATGAAGTTATGGCCTAAAATAATTTATTCAGTTATTGGATCTCCGCTCTAGGAGACCCTTATTATCAGTCTTTATGCCTGTCTGTCAGTTTAGATGTAGCGTTATAGCAACTAACCCCCAAATGTACCCCATTTCATGTTTAAATCATCAAAACAAAGTTAATTTTTCCCAAAATTCGAACAAAGACTTTCGTAGGAATCAAATTACACCAGTTTAAGAAACATATTATGTTCCACCCAGTCATTATCAAATTAAAATTTATATTCTCAAGACCTTTGGCACTGATTGAAATAATTATCTCTAAGTTCCCATCCGTACGATGTACCTAATTACCCTTATTGAGATAATAGGAGTTTCTGTTTATAACGTGAATCACGAGCTCACGTTTACAGTATTTAATAAGATTTATGATGGACGTATAAATACGACTTCGATATCTTTCGGAGAAGGAAGACGATGTAAACCATTCAAAGCGAGTGTGGATAAATGTTATAAGATTTATATTCTGTGTGTTGTGGAAATTTACGAATAAAAAACATATAGAGATTTTTAACGCATCTTCATTCACGTGGGCGTTGAAGCTGAAGGGTGAACGGGTGACTTGCAAGTCAGAGACAATCTACGAAATAGCAATATACGGTAATATCACATTCATCTAACAACCATTTACATATGCTATAAATGGTGACAAGACCGACTTGAATTAACCTTCTGAAACGGACCAGATCAACGGACAACAACCAGGACAAGCAACAAGTGGACGGAATCAACCAAAAAACAGACCAAGCGAAAGCTTTCCACAATTGCCGAGAAACCGTCTCCACAAAACGTGCGAACTTACGAACGTCGGGGAGATTCAAATTGCCTGGAACAACGAGTGAAGTATCAAATTGCTGACAAGCCGAAATAATCAAAAACAGTATGAAAAGACAATAATTTCAATTGAAAACAGTTGAACTATGGTAACGGACTCTGGAAACGTTAAAATCATGAATATGGACTGTATTGAACATCGATCGAAATGAACTCTTTTAGAACATGATATATGTTCGAGGTGAAAAACCTAATCAAAAACGAACTGTTGAAAACAATGAACGATATGGACTGTTTTACGGTAAATTACGCGCTCTATTCCAAACAATAGAGATATTTTCGCGCATACCTAATGGATATACAGATCAGGAGCATGTTAAATCTACAATTTGTTTCATGATTTGCAGGTTTTTCTCCTCATTGAGACAGACATTTTTCATTCTTCCACTAATACTAAGGTAAAGTACTTCTTTTTCTTCTTATATATACATGGCGTTTCATTCGGTTTTCAATTTTTATAAATTAATTAATGGTAAAACTTTGAATATTCTAATTTCAAATACCTTTAAAAAGATTTATATTATTGAATATTTGTGGTTAGCATTCCTTTTCGATTAAATAGATTTCGTTAGAATTAAAATGCTTTCTAAAAGTAGGTTCGAGCGAGTCATACTTTTATTTATTTACAAAGCCGTCATAAAGAACGGTAAAATAATAAGCTCGTTAAACAAAAATTGTATCAAAAGCGTTATTTTTTCAAAAAAGCCCTGAGATGGCATAAACTTAAAAATACGTTTTTTCATCCCGACATGGGACAAGCATATATTGACCAACTAGGTCTACAAAATCGTAACAATGCGATAAAGCGAGTATAAGTATTTTAACTTAGCGAAATACATTGAATTGAAAATATGTTTTAACCGTCCAAACCAAAATTTTTCAAATAAAAATACGCCATCCTTCTGTAATTCTACTTTACAACCGTTACCTTTTCTATAACCTCTTCTTTATTTCAATGTCTTGTCTCATTGTAGATCATATACATGTAAATATTTTTTTTGACCTATATCATTAATTTTAGCATTGTGTATTGTATTTTTCTATATATTTTCAATTTATTAGAGGGTGCCAAATCTTTAAACTTCCAGTTAGTAAGATGGGGAGATAATATAGCAACTAACCCCCAAATGTACCCCATTTCATGTTTAAATCATCAAAACAAAGTTAATTTTTCCCAAAATTCGAACAAAGACTTTCGTAGGAATCAAATTACACCAGTTTAAGAAACATATTATGTTCCACCCAGTCATTATCAAATTAAAATTTATATTCTCAAGACCTTTGGCACTGATTGAAATAATTATCTCTAAGTTCCCATCCGTACGATGTACCTAATTACCCTTATTGAGATAATAGGAGTTTCTGTTTATAACGTGAATCACGAGCTCACGTTTACAGTATTTAATAAGATTTATGATGGACGTATAAATACGACTTCGATATCTTTCGGAGAAGGAAGACGATGTAAACCATTCAAAGCGAGTGTGGATAAATGTTATAAGATTTATATTCTGTGTGTTGTGGAAATTTACGAATAAAAACATATAGAGATTTTTAACGCATCTTCATTCACGTGGGCGTTGAAGCTGAAGGGTGAACGGGTGACTTGCAAGTCAGAGACAATCTACGAAATAGCAATATACGGTAATATCACATTCATCCGTACCAATACATGCTATAGCGTCTTAACGGCTGGACCAATCTGGATGAAACTTCTCACGTGGGTTATCCTGTCACCCTAGTAATGTGCATTTTATAGAAAGTCCGGATAGAGGTTTCGTTTCCATGGAAACAACGAAAAACGCGCCGATTGTTATTGAAATTTCCAGTTTTTTCACATTTTTTTGTTTAATCGCGACGTCGTTACAGATCCCCGACTTTCTATGGATGGTAACCGGTTGCTTGAGCGTTGGCCTCAACTATCAGCGGAGATCCCGGGCGCCTACCGGCTTGTACAGTTAGTAATTGCCTTTATTGTGTGTAAGCTGGTAAAAATGTTTACATTGTACAGTTTCATATTCATTTTATCGATTAACCTCTTATGAGTAATATCCATATAATTGACATTCATCTTTGTTTGAGGGTTCGTAAAGCAAACTTAAATATTCCCTGCGCCTTTTTGTGCAAACACCATGAATAATGGGTAATGAGTCTTCAACAATGTCTTTGTTCTATCTAATGATTTTTTACAAGACTTAGCGCAGTCGATTCATGGAATCGATCATTCTGTATTCTCTGTTTTAACAATAGTAATATTTACTTAATAACGAAGATTACCGTTACCGTTTAAAGAATATTTATAATATTTAAACCGTAATAGTTTTACAGTACCATTTATGATAATTTGAATTAGGATAACTTTTGCCTGTCATAATGATTGATACTAATTCTATACTTTCTATTTCGATATCGGTATTATTCAGAAAGTACGATTTCAATACTCTTTGCTTTGTGGAAAACATACGCAAACTGAAACCAAATAAGTACACTGGCTCTATGGTTATTACCATTTCCAAACTCGCAGATTTCAATGGCTTAGCAAAAAAAATTCGAGTGGTATAGTGTGCAAATCTATCACCGGTATAAACCCCTACGTATCGACCATAACCTATACCCTATTATCAGTATCACGAGGGATGCTGTAAATATTGTATATCACGTTCAGAGTAGTAGGCTACATCTGCTCACGAAATCCAGGAAATACTTTGTTATTTCGGTCTAACCAATGTGCATTGCGTGGTGTATCTTGGCTAGGATACTCCCAATCGAGATAGTTCGTACATGTCCAGAGCTTTGTTAATATTCAGAAACTGTAAAGTAACCGTAAATTATTCAAGTACCAAAATTACGCTTCGCGGTTACGCTTTTATCAACGTAAAATGTTTTTGCTTTTCTTCATCACGAACAAATGACATTTATTTACTTGTCAAATGGTTTAAACAGAAATAAAACAAGATGTTTGATAGTGACATGTTTAAACACCACTAAAGCTTAAGACTCGAATGTTTTCAATGGGGCGGGTAAATATATCAATTTACTAGGGTAGTGTTGTGGAAAACAGTGTCAGAAAACAGACACCGGATAATATATCACCTTATTGTTATTCTATTGATTACATCTAAATAGTGATTGGATGCTATCTGAAAAGAGTCGCAGCGTACGATAAAAAGAATTGCAAAGTTATGTTTGGCCGAATAAAAGCGTTTGATGAATCGTCCTTTTAAGTGACGACTCATCAATGGCCAATTTTACACGTCTAGTTTTCATATACGTCATTGATTTAATAAAGAAATACCAATCTATTGTTTGATATAACTATTTGAACAACTCCATATATTAATGTCGAGATTGTAATTTTGATCATGTTTTCATGTTAGGGCTATAGGAATAAATTGAGCGAAAAAAACTATTGATAATTTTTTTACCAGAATGAGTCTACTATTTACGTCAGGGAAATATATGAACAGATTTAGTGCCGTTGCGCAATTCATCATTTTGCCACGAATTCCGTATATGTCATACTCTAACGCTAACCGCATTTCTTGAAATTTTATATTGATTACTTCTAAAAAATGCAATCGGATGTCAATTATTTTAGAGCTTTATTACTTTTGTTTTTATAAGTTTTAAGTTATAAGTTAAGTTTTATATTTTTAAAATTGAATAATCCGCCCATTGACAAGTATTACTGACGTGCCAATATGTAAAAGAGTATTTCAGCAATGTATGTTAGCAATACTGCTCGTAATAGCAATGACGATGACACAAAATTGACGTACCGATAGTAGTGCTATAGTCGAATGCTGTGGTGCCAAGTCCAGAATCTGATATCCTTGTGTCGATGTTTTCTTGATCTGATTTCCCTCCTGGATATCTCCTTCTTGATCTTTGGTGTTTCTCATTTCTTCTTTGCCACGCCGCTACTTCATTTGCTGTTGAACTACTGGTCTCAGTTGCAGATGTATCATACATGGCAGTAGCTGACCATGTTCTACCTGTACACACAAAATTAATATTAATTGACTATTTTGATTGATTACGCTAATTGATTGATTGATTGGATAATATCAAATTTTTCAAATCAGGCTAAAGACCTGGCCATTCATATGTATCGGGTTCAATGCTGTTTTAGAATTATAGCCTATGTCTTTGTGTGATGAGAGGTTTAAATTTTGTAGAGGATAGCTGAGCTTGGAAGAATGCAGGCAGAATGCAGACGGCAGAATGCATCAAAAATGCTTAATTGGCAAGTTATACTTATATTTAACCGGGAATGTTTGTGGAACAGGATGCCCTTATATGTCACATGATGATTAACGCAGGCACTTAGCACGGCCGAGCATAAAGGACACAATTCAACTGTAACCTATGGCCAGTTAGCTTGACAATTTATCCATATTTACTGGATCCCTCGCTTGACCGATATTACCCCTATTCTGGCAAAAAGTTGAGTTTACCTCCTAAATCCGGCGGTAAACTCAGCGCCCTGCTGTTTGGTCTTGATCTATCCATCGCATTTAATCCATATGATACTTTCTTGATACTTTGACCATCTGTCCACGCAATTGACTGTGTGTCCGGAAGTGGAGACTCAATAGGTGTAAAACTCGTGGCAGTTGTGCCCATGGACAGACGACTGTATCCACGAATACGACTACTTCCTCGTCGAAAATCAAGTGGACGTAAAAGAAGTTTGCACAACTTGAACTCCCGATAAAGTCGAGTTCTGAAAAATTGAACGTAGGAAACAGTTTCATAAATTTTTGAAACACCTCATATTTCAGCTTTCTCTATTATAGTAGGCAATAGTGAATGACCTATTGGTCGGAAGTTGTTCATCAGAAGGTGGTCATATAATTTAAGGGCATATCGATTTGCACTATTGTCCAGTAATTTGCAGTCAAAGGTTCTTCGTCTGAAAATGCACTTGGATTTCATTTATTATGAAATATATTAGCTTGTCATTCATATTCTAGCTTATCTGATTCACTTTCAAATCTATTGATTAAATTCTATTTATATTCTATTCCATTAAATTCTATTATAATAGTTATTATTGGGAAGTTTTACTGCAAAAATATCTCTGTATGAATATGTTCCGGAAATTGAGCCCAGAAACATTTTATCCGAATGGGATTTTATACTATTACCACAAGCACTTCCAACACTTGAGTTCCAAAGAAATGAAGATCTGTGTGAATTCCACTTAGGATTAGCAAGCCTTCAAGTTTTAAAAAATTACTCACTGTAAGAAAAGTGGCAGTCGATTTTGATGCGCCCATTGCAACACTCTTTCTTTTTCATCATCTCTGACACCGTATGGTGGACCACCAAACAATCCGTGAACGTTTCCCGTAAGTGATATATCAATCATCTTTGACTTTGTCTTTTGTGAAATTTCGTGACCGAATTCTTCATTTTTATTTACTTCATGAAACGTCCCGGTCAGTCTATCATATCGTATTCGAAGTGGGAAAGCCTGTATTGAAACGAATTTAGTTTAAGGCTAAGCATGTAACCCAAAAAACGGATGGTCCATATTTGAATATGTAACAAGTTTTTTTCGTTACTAATTAGCATATTACTGATATGTGCTCTTAATAGGCTACGTTTATTAGTAATCTATGTTTTGGTATTTATATAAAAATTGAATTTCTGACTAGGTAATTACTGGAAGTATGTCTAGTTTAAATAATATTTTTCTAATCAAAATAAACTAATGTTTTCAGTTACCGTTCAATGATTATCAAGATAGGGTAGCGGTGATGTGCATTAAATTGAATAACCCGAAATTTTTAAGCCCACGGCGGTAGCTTCTAGTAGATTATAGTATTTGTGAAACATAGAAATTAAGAACTTAGAAAAAAAGTGTATGTATATATACTATACTACTGTACTATATAAAAATCTCACACTTACCGACAGTTCTAAAAATGAGTTAAAATATTCCAGGAAAAGGTCATCGCACGATAATGACTCCTCCAATCTATCGGGAACAACGGAATCATTTCCTAAAACATGAAAAAGCATAACTAACGTCCACGACGACCTGACTATGTTTCAAAACTTGTATGTCAAATATTATACAAATTGTTATACAAGGTTCTGTTTGCTTTAAATGAATTTTAAGATAAGAAATGTGTCAGTTGTTTAACTTTGTTGTGGTTAGACGACGCTTGAGGTCGTGACACATAACCCTGACAAGATGAAAATTTATTAATATTTATCTGTAGGAAAGACGAACTTTCGTACGATTCGAGTACCGAAGAAAGTTAGTTAGTTAAACGTCCATTCTTTCAGAAGAGATTCAATAACGACGATTCCAACATATAACAATAATACGTTGGACCCAATATATGTATTTGCATTTATTGTACAGAGGCATTTACGGCTCAAGTTTGACTAAAACTGTACACGTCATATCTGTTCGTGTATGATGAATATTGGTGTTAAATATTCTATTTTATCATATTGATGATAATCGTAATTTGATTTGAATCTTGACGCCAAATTCCCAAACTGACTTCTCACCAAAATATAATAAATTTTACAAACAAATTAAACAGGTTATACATTAATTGCTAATAATTATAGAATACATACCTTTCATTTTGTCACGTCAACCTATTAACGATCACTCCAGTTTCGGGCTCCTGCCAGGTGTCTTCGCCATCACCAGAGACGTCCGGCACTTGAAACAAGATGGATGGTTTTATACAATCTCGATTTGTTTGCTTTAAAGACCAAAGCAAGTACTTCAAGCGGGTATATAGCACTCTATTGTTCGACGATGCTCATCTTTTTTCATTGTTCACAACATATGTTGCCAAAGACAACGCAATTATTATCAGAAATCGATTAGTCTCGTGTGACACCTTGTGGATATCGGAATTCAAGATGGAAAGAGCAAATACAAAGAGGTTCACACGCTCCCTCGCATCTTTGTTGTATGAATGTAATGTGCTTATCAACAGTTGTAAATCAAATTTAGGACTATCTTAACTTGAAACCTTACCACAATGAATTTATTAAATTTCATCCTTGAATAATGTTACAGTATCATTCTTTACAACAGTCTTATTCTTTAGTTATTTCTTTTTTATTTTTGGTTCCGGGACAAGCATTATAGAATGTATTGTTTCCAAGGACATTCATAGTGAACTTTGCTCAAATTTTTGTCAGTGATGATTTCAATCATAGAAATATCGAAGAAACAGCAATTCGAATTTTGTGTTGAGCATTTCCATGCCACTCCACTAACGATAAGGTGACTTGGCCCCTTTTCCATTACGTATGTAATCAATGATGTGTTTCCATCTTCCTGAGTACTATTTCCCAGCTATTTCCGTTAATGGCATTTATAATTATTGTGAGAAGTTTCTATTTTCGAAAAGAATGATTTATATTTTGTTATTACAAGTTAAAATTAATTGGGGTCTCAGATTGATGATGCTTTTTAATGCAATAATCGGACCTCCTGAAGTATGCGCACCAAGATGGCGTACAACCTGAACTCAGGTTGTGTACCAGGTTAGGGTTCAGGTTACCCAATAATCTTTTAGAGTAATATATTGTTTGCCTGACGTTAGACAGTAAGATTTCCGGATACATTGTCTGCGGTGCCGGATTTATTACCAAGCAAGGTGGGCTGAAGCCTGGGGGCCTTGACGGGCCTATAGTGTTTTTTTCAGTAACTTTTCATTTATCAGTGATTGGGCCGGGAATATGATGTAGAATTTTCTGGTACCATGGCTATTTATTACAACCTTGAACTAAAAATTTTGCGCTTCATGCAATTAAAAATAATCATGGCGTCATATTATATACCACACAACCATGAAATATCGTATTTTGACGTCGCGAAGGGTTCATCATTGTTGAATAGGGGCTCCACAAATGGCACAGCCTAGGCCCTAGGGCAGGGGTCGGCAACCTACGGCCCGCGGGCCAGATTCGGCCTGCGACGCTTCACTTAATTATAGTAATAAATTATAGCTGTTTTGTCGATTATATTCTTTACGCAAAAGAATTTACGTGTAGACTAAATTTTATTATAACGTAACAAGTATATAATTCACAATTACTCGTTTAATGAGCCTATAATTTAAATATAATTTAGACTAATGACAACAAAACGCAGAAAAGTTGATGCTAAGTGCAAATGGTTTAATGGCGCAAAAAATATTCGAATGGTCAGTCTTCGCGCGCTGCTTAAAATTTAACTTCTGATCTGTGTGATAAAATGTGATTCATTTTAAAAATATGTGCGGCCCGTCAATGACTTGCGACCTTTAATTTTGGCCCGCGCGCGACAAAAGGTTGCCGACCCCTGCCCTAGGGTATTTCATCGTCTAAATCCGACCCTGATTGTCTGCCAGTAATTATAGTACAGAAATGGTAAAGACAGGCGTCGGATACAACTAACCGCGGTTATTACGTTTTATCATCTTTTATTTTAAAAAAAAAGTTTGAGAGATACTGCTGCACAACCCGCGACAAAGACAGCGTCACACCAGCCCGACTATTTCACGTTGATAGACTGTGTCAGAATGTGGAATTTGTGCTCTCAACAAAACTGAGGTGTTGTTCATTGTCCGGTAATGAACGGACCAATTGTTCGCTCCAGACTTTGTATTCTAGCTTGATCGAGTACTTCTGTGATCGGTTATCGAAATAGTCGCAAATAAACGAGTTAATGGTTAACACATTGTTTGCATCTGCAACATCTTTGCCACTATTCAAACATACGGCTGTGGCATTACAGAATACACTGAGCTAATATTGTTCAATGGCATTGTAAGTAACACGCGATTTATCACACGAATAGTTTATTATGGTAGAAATCTTTTCCGTGTAACTAATTTTCAGATGGACAAAAATATTCGAGGATGCGTTTTAGGTTAAGATAGATATATAAAATAAATGATTTGAGATAGCATGAATGGTGGGATCCATCTCAAATGATTGTTTGCACAGTTTGTTTTTTCGTAAAAGACACTGCCACCAATTATTCCTTAGATAATATTAGTGGTAGAAATTTAGGGACCTTAAAAACAATGAATTTTATTGCTTAGTTTTAGCGTACCTTTGTGATGTATTCGAGGCATTTGCCAAGAAGCGCCAAGTTTTTGAGTTAGTGAGTTTTTTTGTGAGAAGGCTCATTTTAGAACATGAACTGAATTTTTCTGTGTCGTTGAGAGTATAGTCTAAGTCAGCATTTACCAACCTTTTTTGGTCGCGGACTATTTTCTCACGGGCGAAAACCCTTGCGGACTCAACGTGCGTTGGTTGCAACCGTACTCTGTGTGAAGAAATAATAAAACCAAACAGAACAGAATTTTAAGGAATTTCAAAATCAGAAATTCGCCGCAATTGCGCGTTTGTTAAAAGAGTCGACTTTTTTAGTGTATAAATGGCCTTTTCTGTCGCACAATATTCAATCCATGACAACGACGAGAATTTAAAATGTCTTTCTATTTTTATTCATTTGTGTTCATGGTCACTCGCGGTTGCGTCGACTTATGACAAGATGAAAGCATTGCTTCTTTAAACAAATACCACGGCAATCTGCGAACATATGCCCGATTACATTTGGTTTTGATACATATTTTTTGCGATCTTGTTATCGCCGTTAGCAACATCCTACTATCTGCTATAAGTTTCCAGAAAGTACAACTTGATTTAGTATTTATTAAAAATATAATTAAAGTATATTAGTAAATCAAAAAAAATTATGCATCCCCCTGCTTTAATTAATATTAATTTAATTTGTGATAATTTTAATCTGCGGTTGTCTTGACGAAATAAAAGCAAAACTTCTCAGAAAATATCATGACAATCCGTGGACAAAAAAGTGCGTGTTAAAGTGCCCGATTATATTTTGTTTCGATTCGTATTATTGTGAATTTGACAAATCTGAGATGTTCTCGTACAACACATACTGCAGTACTGTACGTACCAATGGGGAGGCAGTAAAGCAAAGAATTCTAAGGAAAAATGCCCTGATACGTATACTACGGTAGCACCCGAAATTTAGCAATTTGCAATGTATAAAAAAGCGTTTTTAATCGGTCGCGGACCATCATTAAACAAAACTTATGGTGTTCTCCGTTTCATTTGTAGTATTTGTATTTAGTATTGCCGCATTTCAATTTAGAAAATTTAGGTTGCCACCATTGACACCTACCAGAAAATTCTTTTTTTTTTTCGTTGTTCGAGCTTGCGAGAAATACCACTTAGGTATCTATCCACGCGTGTACCGACTCGTGTTTTTGCCGAAATCCGCAAGTGAGTTGTAAAATCCAATCGTTTGATTAAGCGACGCGCAAGTGACCAGTCTCATCACCTGTTACCAAATTTTCGAATAGTAAATTGCTATTCTAAGAGTTGAATATTTGAATATATTCCCAGTCCCATAGACAGTATCCAGTAATTATTGACTCGATTAATGATATGTGAATAAACTTGCATTTCATGTAAATTCAAACGTAAATCGTAACTTGGCTGATGGTTAGGTTTCGCAAAAACGTTTGTGGCCCGCAGTGAATTTCTGGCTCGTTGCGGATTCATTCAAACGCTCCGCGGACTCATTTGAGACCGCGGACTCGGGTTGGGAAACACTGGTCTAAGTTAACAGAATATTTTTGATATTAAAACCATGGTTTGAGTGATGACATCCCTCTTTCCATGTGTTAGGCAACCGTGACTGCTTTAACCGTGACTGCTTTACGGTGAACACTCTTCATTGCCTGGCAAAATGAATTTTAAATTTAATAATTTTGTGCACCTCAGAGAGATTATTTATTAATCTTATTTAAAAAATGAGTTAAATTTATTTCCAATTTAAAAAAAATTATTAAAAAACAGTGGTGTCACGTACAATGGATAAAATGCGGAAATTATTTACTCCTGGACCTCTGGGCATCAGCATGCGTGTGAGACAACAAATGCTTCGAGACATTGGTTCAAGAGAACCTGAATTTATAGAAACGATCAGGTATGAGTGATGTACAGAAATAGCTATAGAAATGAACGCTAAAGATGTACTTTCAAAAATACTTTTGTATCAAATTTTGTAGGTTGACATCGTATAGATTGAAAATTCCCTGATTTAACCGTCTCACAAGGTTATATATATATATATTTTTATTGTTATATATCATAAGCACTTCGCAATGAATGTATTTCAATTTCCCTTGCAACAATGGCTCCATTGTATCTGGTTTTTGAACTGTGCTTCAAAAATTACAATACGTCATCATTTGAGGACGCCATTTGTCTGTTCAATATTTTAAGAAATCATAGATTTATTAGATTCATACCACCTTTGTTGACTATATATCTATACTAGGATACGTAACTGCCAACTTAATTTAAAAATATTTTATAAACGATAAATCATTTTCATGCTTTCAGGTTTGTTCGTAAAAAGCTGTTGGAAATTGCCAATGTGGGAGACGAGGTATTTACAGTGGTGCCAATGCAAGGCAGTGGAACATTTGCACTCGAAAGCGCATTCACCACTACCATTCCTCGGAATGACGGAAAGGTTTGAAAATTATTTTGACTTTTACAATTTGTAACAGCATAATTTAAAAAAGGATATTTCAGTCCGGTAGACAAATTCTTTGTAATCTGTGTACGTATATATTGATTTATCAAACAATTACTGTTCGTGCAAATCTGCCGCTACTCAGTGACCAGTGATAAGTATGTACAAGAAAGCGAACAAGAGAGATTCGCTGATCAATTGATAGATCTAGTGGTACTATTACACACGTCGTAATAAATCGGATAGTCTGAGATAAACAGAATGATTTCAGTTCTACATCTATATCGATGCACATATATGATATGAAAATATTTTGCATTAGGTTCTTATACTTGACAATGGTTCATACGGAAAACGACTGATGAAAATTTGCCAAACTTCGTCGATTCAAACTGAGATAATGTCAGTTCCCGAAGCACTAAATTTCAGTATCGAAGACATTACCAAAAGATTGAAATCAGACCAATTTTCCCATCTGGCTATGGTCCACTGTGAGACGAGTACTGGTGCCATAAACCCCATTGAAGAAATAGGCACTGCAGTGAAGGCAGTCAGTCCAGGTAGGCACCGATATTTTTCACCTAATGGCACTACTCATTTGCCTCGATTACTTTTAGCATAATAATCACGTGTTTAATTCCATTTCAAAGTTTAGTTACTGAATTACAGTAGTTTTTCTTTCGCTTTTCAGGTCTTTATGCTTTAGAATGACCACAACGCTGTAAAATTTTTGCTTCAGATACAATATTCATGGTGGATTCAATGAGCGGTTTTGTGGGAATACCTATGAATCTTGATAACATAGATGTGATGGTAACCAGTACTAATAAATGCATGCAAGGAGCACCTGGCTTTGCATATTGTTTTTTGAAAAAAGAGCTACTAAACAGGTAAAATTATTAGAAACGAAATGAACATTTGGAACATCTTGTTATCATATTGTTGTTTGTCATCTTTTTCTTCTGTTCGTGAGGAAAAAAAAATTATTGCTTTTCTTATTACCTACTGGTTCAACTGAAATTTTCAGTGGTTAAAGATTGTAGTTTTCGCTAGAAGGCTATTACTTTTATTTATTTGAAAAAATTCTGTGGGCTTCCTGGGATTCGTTTTTGAACGATGACGTCATTATTAACGTCAAAATTAAAAATTGCGTACCTTGCGACGGTTCCGCGTTCGTGTTAGTTGCTAGCTGTTGGTCAGGCGAAGATGGAAAGACTGCGGTACCCGTAGTCTAATGTGACAGATTGCATACTGTACTACTTCGTTTAGATTTCGTGTCTATATAATTGAGCATCGATCTCTTGTTATTAACTAGTATTACAAGTATTTCGTGTCCTAATCAAGCAAAATTTCTGTACAAATAGTTGGAATAGAGCATTGGAAAAGCAAGTGCCAACAAAAAACAATTTGCTTTTTCTGGTTACTACACTAACTAGCCCAAAAATCTTTCAGTGTATAGTTACTATACAAAACAAAACTATGTTGTTTCTTCTAGATGCAAGGGAAATTCCAGGAGTCTGTCATTAGATCTCTTCGATCAATATGAAGCACTCGAGAAGACTGGTCAATTTAGATTCACTATTCCTACTCATGTAATGTTGGCGTTTGCAGAAGCAATAAGAGAACTAGAAGACGAAGGAGGAGTAATCCAGAGAGCAAAACGGTGAGTAATAGAGTAGACAAGATTGAATGAATAGTTTTTTGTTTGAGTAGGTAGGCTAATTTTATTAGAAGTAATATTAAATATTGCGAATCTTGTATACGATTCTTGTGTATTAATCGCCATGCGGATGTTTTTGATTTTGTTAAAAAACATTGCATTTTCTTAAACCTATGTATTAATCTTTTAAATTATCTATTGTTGAAGATGAGAATTTTATTTAAAGAGATGTATTATGATATCTTGGTATCTCAATATGGTGCCCACTAGGCTTGCACGTAATTTACAGATTTACGGAATTACGGAATTATTTCGAGTTACGGAAGCGAAGTTACGAATTACGTAAAGTCGTAATTATTGGTCGAGCGCTTTCGCGATTGAAACGAGCTCTCTTCAGAGCAGTCAATTCCGTCGATTGTAAAGAATTAAAGTTTAAGTAAAAGAAGTTAGAGTTCCGGTATTCGCAGCCGTTTTTCTCTCTCTTGTTAGGCAGATGGGGAAGGCATAACGCGTCATTTACTAACCTATTATCAACGTATCTAGGATGGCCAATGTACATATTAACCGTAGATAAGGAATAGACTTGTGTTGAGACCGATGGACGTCAACACACCTGGTTTCAACTTCTTCGGGTGAAATGACTAAAGAATGTAAGAGATCAACTTATAAAACATGGTGTATTTGTAAATGCCGTGATAATTAATGAAGCGCTTATCAAACATCAATATAAAGACGGAAGAGAAATTGCGTAATGAACCAACGCAACTTAGTATTTTCGGCATCGGTAAAGCGATTGAGACGGCAGAGAAACAACAATACGACGGGATTTTCCGTGTTTATTCTGCGCGAGATGCATTTTCTATTACAAAATCTTGATGTTCTGTTACCGATTTGGCATTGCTCAATATGTTTTTCACAATGCTTCGCAATATGTCGGCCAAACATGATTACCTGTCTTTACCAAATGCGGCAACTTATTGCCGATTTATTGTTGACTCGAATACCACCGGCACTCGACCAAACTTGTGTCAATCTTGGCAAATAGGATTGTCGACTTGAGTTAAAAAAATAAATTAATATTTTCAATAATGTGCAAAATAAATGTCACAAAATGCATTGTTTTGCGATATAACTTTGTATTTTCGGAGAAGGCATGTCATATAAGTACGGTATTTTAAATAATGCGCAAATAATTAATATTTGATCTAAATTTATCGCAAATAATGTTATAACTTTTAGGCCGCGAAAAGATGTAATGTAAAATGAAGCATAGAATTCGGAATATCGTCAATAAGTTGGCATCAATAATTATTATAAAATGCTAACTAAGTAGTAAAGTCGGATATTGTAAAAAACGGTGAAATAACAAGTCTTCGTCGCGAGGCAAGCGAATGTATAATCAAACGAGAGAATACGCTTGTAGTTGATTAATAAATTAGCAACCCTGAATTTTTATTTAATACGAAAGTCGTATTAATACGTTAATACGATTTTGAAAAAGTGAACTATCGTTTCTTAAATATATTACCAGTGTTGGTAATGATAAAATTGATCGCATAAAATTTGGTGATAAAGTGGATAAAAAAAATCAAAGCTAATACAAAAGATAAAAATCAGAATAAAATTATTTTGAATTCACTCCTTGATATTTGTCTTTAACATCTGTCGCCGGCGTGTAGTACTGCCGGGAATATGAAAACCAAACTTCGATGTCCCATTCGGAATAGAAGTGGATTAAATTGGTTGTTATGATAGGTTTAAATGTGTGAAAAAAATATCGCAATTACGGGGTCATTACGTAATCGATTTGGCCGTAATTACGGAATTGATTTTTGTCAATTACGTGCAAGCCTAGTGCCCACTGTCTTCACACAAAATTTGTTTGTTTTAACAATTTACGCCGTCACTCGAATTTTGCTCTGATTTATTCTGATGAGATCGGGACAACTCATGGCGGGCAGAGCATAACCTCTCGTGATTCCTTCGTCCGAGTCCTTTGCGGCGTTACGTTAAACGATTTCTTATTTTCAATATAGATACAAAGAAAATGCCGAAATTCTGCGACGAGAAATGCAACAGATGGGATTCCTTACACTGTTAGATCACTCAGATCATCAGTTGAGCTACATCATTACTTCTTTCCACTATCCGAAGCATAAGAACTTCAATTTTGACATTTTCTACAATAAGCTATACGAAAAGGGTAAATCAAAATCTTCAAACGTTCACAATAATACATCGTCGCAACAATGCTGTACTCTAATACAACGAGTTTTCAATTTAGTCTAGTACGTGTGAGTAATCCCAATCCATTTGCGTCGTTGGGAAACCTAAACCTGACTGAGTCCATTTTTTATGACGTTACAATGCCCTAACAGCTAGCTTGTGCGAAGCGAACAAGTCATGTCATAAGATCAATAGCCAAAATTTTCGCGCTTGCAACTACTTGAAAGCCTATGTTAAATAAAAGTGCGGCCGCGGTTTCTCCCAGTTATTTGAATGTGGCCCTCCTGTATTAAAGGTTGCACACCCCTGCTCTAATAGATCGTCTTCAGCACAGTGTTTGTTGCTTTTGAATGCGTGTTTGTTTTTAGTTTGAAAACTAAGTGTTTTGATATCACAGTATTTTACGCACCATAAGGCAGCTTTAAATTTTTATTTTTCAAATCCATCGTGCGCCTTATACGCCGGTGCGCCCAATGTTGGATCAGGCGGTGCTTTAGTGCCTACATTTCAAACCAGTACCATTTGCGCCCTATAGTCCGGTACGCTATATGTATGAATAAAAATCTGTATAGAACAATAGGAACTAATCTACAAATCAAATACTAAACAGAATAAAGGCATATTAGATTATCCAAAAAATTGTTATAAGCTTACATAAAAAGAAAAAAATGCCATCATTTTATTCTATATTAGCCTGCCCAAAATATGTATCTTCAGGCATAGTGCAAACATAAATTTTGTGATTGCAGGTTCGGTCATCTACCCTGGGAAAGTGACTATCGCAAATTGTTTCAGAATTGGTACAATTGGAGACATTTGGCCAGATGACATTAATAAGTTATTGAGCGATATCAAAGAAACTATGCAAGAAATGGAAATTGATTTACCTATTAAAAATGTATAACTGCTATTTCGTATTGACTACCTAACTACAGTGATTAATTGCACACAACTTGTTTCTTAAAAAAATTATCCGCTGGGAAAGATTATGTTACAGACTGAGTTAATTGTACATTGAATTGAACGAACTAATTTTAAAATGGATTACAAGATCTAGCAAAGATGATTTAATCATATTATTAGCTTATAATAATATCATTCGCGTCTCTCTGATCTTGTTGCGTGTGATAGACTCATACCACCACCAGCATATCACGGACGATTGAAAACGAAAGAATTCAATTCACACGTTTGCGGTACTCATATGTCATTTATGAAGATCTCGAGTGAATATTATCAAAATCTTCCGAGTTTCACTATCTAGCAATCCAATTTGAAGCATATCAAATACCACATAAAACTTAAATATACATAAGGATAAAACGTGGAGAATCTTTCAAATCAAGATAGCAGTAGCATATTTCCAAAAATCGAAGCAACGCATCTTTCCAATTGAGTTTCTCTAAAATTTACTTGGTGAGGCTCCTAACAGTATGTCAGAGGTATTTGACCACTCGCTATATCCCGTTTTATTCTTTCCCCTTACTCTCACTGAATATAAATTCCCTTCCTTAAGACACCTGTATTTGCAGTTCTTCGCGTCGGTAACTAAAAATAATCTTTCAATTATTTGATCGGTTTGCACCTCTACTTCGTATTGCATTGATGGGTATTCTGATTCCCATTGTATTTCAACGTCAAGTGAAGGTCGTTCGTCATCCAGTATGCATTTTAATCCCATTATCTTCTTTGGCACTAAAAACGATCAAATAATAAGTTTTTGTGTTAGCTATTATTGCATTTCAAGCCAAAAAACAAACAAAATATTTCTACCCATATCGTAAGTTTCTTTCAACATTCTTCGAACAGTTTTTATGATTCATTAGGAATATATTATTATTTCGTCATTAAATTTTGGTAAGTGTGCAATTCAATGATAACTTCACTATGTACACTTGACATGACTTTGAACTACAAATTGGAATGATGGATGACTTAGATTACGTTCATATATTTATATTTAGTAAGTGTTTAAAATTAGTTTAATTTTCACAGTTGCTTCCGCTCAATACTTAGAGTTAACTCCGTGTTTAGAGATACTACAAGAATGGAAAAATTGAATAAATGAAGTAAACAAATTTTCTCTGTTACCTGTCAATATATTTTTTGACTTCTCACTGCGACTTGATTTATCATCTTTAATGCTGCGCACGGTTGCATAATATTCCGTGTTACCTTCAAGGTTATGAAAATCACATTTAATTTCACTTGTTTTTTTCTGATTCACTACTTCGTCATTTTCTGCTTTGCATAGAGAAATTTCATATTGACATGTTCCAGTATGATTGTGAACAAATGATACATCAACACAATCGTGACAACTGCACGTCACGCTGGCGTCCTCTGGCGGGTTCAATTCTGAAACCGAAGAGATAAAATAAATGATAGCAAAACGATTCATGGGTCCACTCCGTGTCCAATAACATGTTTATAAACTTACAGAAACTCATTGAATTTGACCATAACTTCACTCGAAGAATAAAAAAGTAAGTGTCCGTAATATCTTCATTATTTACTCCAGCATAAATATACCAAAGCCTTTGACAGGCTCGGTGGTGTGGCGCATTGTGCTGAGAATTAAAAATACGCTCGCCACCGCACCTCTGATTGCTCTGCATGGGTTCGCGGTTGGAATCCCGTGGTGATAATTATGTGCGAGAGGATTGCTGAACTCCTCGCCGCTGTAGGTCGGTGACGGCTACATTCACCATCAAGTTCATGCATCTGAAACAAATGACTGACTAACTAATCCCATACGCGACATGGCCTGGTAACTGGACGAGAGTCCGTGGTTCGCCATAGGATTAGGACGTATCGACTTTCCTCTCCGACTGGATATATATATATGTAAATTCGATCCTATCCAAGTTTCTATTAAATTACAAACTCGACAATTGGCGCATTGTGCTACTTTGAGTAGGCCGTAGTTCGTCATATGATTAAACAGTAATGTCGGCTGTTCTCTTCTTGGAATAGAATAAAAATACTATTTTGTTAGCGTTTCATATAATATAAAAATGGAGTTGTCCAATTAATATCTGGAGCGTAAATGAAATATAAAGTTTATACGTACAACAAAGATCATGTTTCACTGCAAAGGCGTGCAGAACGTAAGCTATAGCTTAACCAATTTAAAGTGTCCGGGTTGGAGTATAAATAATATGAGAGAGGCCCTTGGTTAAATACCATATTCAATTCGTAACTATACAGCACTGGTTCAGGCTTATTACAGTTGGGTGAATTAGATTTCACCTCCATTGTGATGCGAAGGCTCTAAAATTACATCGGTGTTTTTCATTGCTACGACGTACCTGTTGTAATTTCTGAAGATGCTTGTCTTCCGTATCCTTCACTGTTGCCCGGTGAAACACATATTTCATACTTTGTATCAGAATCCAGATTCTCCAGCGTGTGGCAAGTTTTATCAGTGGTATATTCCAATAAGAAATTCGTTGTTTTAACCGAAATTTTATAGGTAGTTGCATTTTCTGAGCGATTCCAAGACGCTATGGTTGATGAATGCGGTCTGTCTTCATTTATCCGCAACTGCAAGTTTTCTAAGGTTGTTGGCCCTGAGTAGATTCATAGTTTTACATGCAGACATAAAAAAAGAGAACGGAGAGGTCTTATGAATGTAACCTGAAGCTACTTTATCCTGAAGGCAAATTATCAAATTAGAAACAGTGAGTATATATATGGAAACTTCAAAGATACCCAGGCTACGATAGATACCCTAACACAGGGATGGCGAACCACTGACCCGCGGGTCACAAACTGACCCATGTCGTTTTATTCGTGACCCGCCAAGGCACGAATAAAATTTAAAAATAAACTGCTGATATATCAGTGATAAAAATTGATAAAACCGGCCTTAAAGTAATCTAACAATAACTAAACTATTATAATGTACCGTCAGTTGGGCAGTCAGGGCTGCGATCGCTCATTTAAATTGTTAATTTCTGTGCCGTTATTGTAGTTTTCAAAACGCCTAATGTTGGACGCATGTTTGCATCGCTGTGTATCGTTATTCAGCTATTGGCTCCGACATCGTTTATGACACAACAATGCAATTGATCTGTTCATTTCTCGCAACGTGTTTACTCTTTCGGAAGTACATCTGCAGACTGTTTTAGGGGTTATAAGAGAACTAGATGTTACTTTGCATTTTATTAGTTTCTCGCCTACAATGGCGTTGAGAAAGCAAAATCTTCCAAACTTGAAATAAAAACCTAGAAATCTGAAATAACGATCGGGCAGTGTAAAAGTGCCTTAATGTGCTTGAAAGCTGATTAAAAAATATAAAACTATCAGAGTTGAATTACCTCGAAACTCTTTGTAACCGTAAAATAATTTGCCGCATCATCCTAAACGTTTTTGTTTATTCATATGCGTGTTTTCCTACTCTAATTTTATAAAATCCAGTGCCATAAAAAGTTTCTGATAGAAGTCCTACATAAGTAAAGCACAAAACTACACCACCACCTACAGAAGTTTATAGGATTTCAGAAGTTTTTCATAGATACAAACATTGATTAAATCTGTGACCCACTCACTTCAGTTCCGCGATGAAAATGAAATTTTTGACCTATTCATTGAAAAAGGTTCGCCATCCCTGCCCTAACAAATGTTATTTCCTATGGTAGGATTTTAAAACAATAAAATGGATGGACAATGTTTTAAATGCATATACATATATTAGGAAAATTTGTGCGCTCAATCTGTCGTGAGTTAGAATCAGAGAAAGAAATCGCAGCGAGGAGTCCGAGTAGTAATTTCTCGAGTTCAATTTTTTAAGCTTGTAGTTAAAGGCACAGTCGGTTAGTGAAATAGCTCGCAGTCCGTATTAGTATCAAACATGAATAAATTAAACATAACACAGTCCCTCATCAGTTTATGATCAATTCTACATATTACTCACTAGGATCGGTGACTATTTCGTCTGTCGAACATGGATCACTTTCCGTCCCATCTTCAAATATTGATATAACATTAAATCTATATCTTGATCCACTCTGCAATCCAGTTACAACACAACTATTTGTTTTTATATGCTTCATCACATGTTTTCCGTCTGTAGATAACACTTTGTAACGAAATGGTTCTTTTTCTGGACTTTCCCAAGTTATATCAACAGAATTGCAAGGCTTAATCGTATTCAATGTCGCTATCGCTTGTCTTGGTACCAGTTGATCACCTAAACAACGAATTAGACTTAACAACTGGTTAACATTATTTCCTTCCCACTTTAAGATTATATTAAACTCTTTCTCGTGACGAAATGTAGCCAATTGTTGTTTTTGTCTCAATAGGGCCGTTGTTGTTGTGTCATTGTGTCGTTATTGTTGAAAAAAATTGTCCGTAAATAAATCAATTTTATGAAAATTTTTCAATTTTTGATAAAAGTCGCTAGACGATTACATATTTATTTTGTTAAGTGTTTCTGAGTCCAATAGGGCTCGACATCTTTATTAACATTTTGCCTCTTTTGCATATATCGCGCCACCACGTGACATTTAAGTTATGACAGTCCATCTTTTCCCATAAGGCCTTACTGGTATTGACGTAAATTGCTACGGAGATGGGATATGATTAGCAAGAAGCATCGAATAACAAATTTCTGTGTTGGTCTCACAGGCTACAGAAGTTAATCACTGGACTTTCGTATCCATATATTTGAGCATTGCTCTCTTGTTTGTATGTAAGCATAGTTTTGACTTAGCCTTTGTTGAACTCTAGAATTCAAGGAACAAATTTGGCATTAAATTTGTAAGTGCGTATAAGAAATGAAAGTAATAAATACCCATTAGCTTTTCGACAGCGTTTGATCTTATTTTCTTGTCTTTTGTTATCGCCGTGACAGAGAATCTGTAATATCTGCCAACAATAAAATGGGAAGATTCTACTTTATACTCGATGAAACCCCGCCCTCCTTCCATTTGTAGTATAGTTCGGCCTGAACGAACTTCTTGAATTTGAAGATGAAATCCATCAGCTCCATCAACCATTGTCCATCCTACAGAAAATTTCCCATCGTGTTTTAAAACTTTGATCGTGGGTTTATCTGGTCCTGAATGTAAATTAGATACACAAAAATTTCAGGAACTTTCATGGACAAAATAATATAAATACATTTCATATGGAAAGATGATTAGTATTTGCCATGACTTAACGCGTACAATGTCTGTCCTCGACCGGATTTTTGATACAAATCGTCATGAAATCTACCAGTTTAAAGTGCTGTGAAAACCAGTGATTATTGACACCAATTAAGGGTCGAATCACACCCAAGATAGGTCTACAATCGGGCTATATAGACTGCGAAAAGTTTTTTACCATCTAAAAAATTCAAACAACGAGCTCGGGTTGAAGGAAACTTGGCTACAGTTCGAAACTGATGACAAGTATAAAACAAGTTTAATTCCCCGTGACTCCGTTTTTTTTTCTGTATTTTTACTTCTAATGCTATAGCGTTTCCGTACCCATTTCTACACATTATAAGTAATTAGGCTGTACAAAAGCAAGAGTGCAACCTGCGCATAACACTAGCCAAGGTGCATTGAAGATTTAATAAATAATGTACCTTTTATGCATAGTATGTAGTATGAAAAGTATAATGAGTTTTAAATTGGCGAAGAAAGGAATTTAACGAAAAGCCTAGTGGTTAAATTATTCACTCTTTTGGAATCGCGGATCAACGATCTCGCTTCTGTCCTGTCCTTTCACGAAAGTAGCTTCTCGCATGTCAATGTGATGCTTGTCTTGAAAAAATCTGGTATAAGATTTATATTTAGTCAAATATAACTAACTGCGTTAAAAGGTCCTGCGTATGGTAACTCTCAAGCTTCAAGCTCAGGTATGGGCTGGGCCGAAATAAAATAAAAAAGCATGCCCGCTTAAACTTACAACTGAATCGACATTGAAACGACTCACTCGAATAAAACGTTCTTAATGTATCCGATCTTCTCACTTTTTCCGTATCAATTTCTTCGTATGTAGTTATTATGTTTACGGTGTAATATTTCCCGAAATTTAGCACAAACATTTCAGTTTGTGTTTCTGAGCAGGTTATATTCTCGAATTTTTTAATCACGACACCATCTTGTGATAATGTGACTTGATAATGTAAGATTTTATAATCACTTGAATCGCCATCAAAATCAGGGTGATCCCAACTTATACATGCTCGATCCGGACTATCCTCATTTTCAACGATAATTATTTCAATTTTTGGTTTATCTGTTATATTAAAAATAAGTAGGTTTCAGAAAAAGACTTCTATATTTTACCAGAAAGCTTCAATTACGACTTCATAATACTGTACATCATGGCTCTTGCAATTATATCCTTAATTTAAATCAACAAACTCGCAAAAGATAATCAGGGACGTGCTGGTGAGACTATTCAAACGCTCAACTCCATGAGTTAATCGTTATGTCCATAGAACAGAAAATCATCTAGTAGGCCTACTCCAAGTGAATATTCGCATTTGGGCGAGCTCTCGTTCAGGAATGCTTTTGAAACTTGTTTAATTAACTTTATAAATAGGAAAATAAAAAACAAGAAAATGGACTACATACCCAAATCCGCCTTCTTGTCATCGGCTACGCGATTGTTATCTGTTACAATATGAAAGCTGTTGAAATAGTATCTATAAACGATAGAATTTCAATCGAAGATCATGCGGGCACATTAAATTTATTCTCCTTGTAATGTTTTATTCAAATTAAGTAATCAAAAATGTTTTGTACGAGAGAAGCTCAATAGTCATCATAATTCAATTTTTACGTATTTAGGTATTTTATTTACATTTTTCATGTTCCAACTTTCAGATCTAAATTGTAATATCATAACTTACTTTGAGTAAATGGATTATGTGTGTTGACTACACTGCTGAGTATTTTGCTAATTTGTGTCTCTGACATCGCTCCTCGTTCTGCGTAGAAATAGGCATAAATTTCACAATATATAAAATTCACTTCTATAAGCCGATCCGTCTGTGCAACAGTAGGTCAGTGATTTTTAATCCATTTGTTTACAAGATCAGTTTTCGTAACACAAACTATTAGCAGCCCTTATAATATAATTTCGGCAGAGTAAAAGTTGCAAAATACTGTAGGCCCATATACATTGAGAATATGCAACAGACATTTCTGCCGAACATTATTGAAGATTTTGGTGATAATATATTCATACAGATATTGTAGTCTACAGGCCTACATAAGTTAAGAAATCAGTAGCTAGGACAAGATGCCATCTTCGTGGTGCAGACTCTGAATAAAATTCAAGTTGAATGCTACCCAATCGTAAATGTTTAGAGACTTAGTCGTGATATTAATACTTACTTGGATATGTGCTCACTGCGTCAGTTTTACTTCCAACTTCTTCTTTGATGGTACCATCATCTTCAAGAAAAACTGCGGAAACTTTGAATACGTAGGGAGTATTTGATTTCAAACCATGAAAAATAAACGGCGGTTGTTGACAAGTTTGTGTCACAATTTTTCCTCGTGATGGAATGGCTTTAACGGTGTAATATTCTGGAGTCTTTACCGAAGAGACCCAAACAACTTTAATGCTTCTTTCTGGGCACTCGCTGTTTACAGATGCGGACGGATTCCTAGGAACTCTATCTCCACCTGGAAATGGAAAATTACATCGAAATAAGACGTCCGAGGGGAAAGTTATGTACCAATCAAACTTGAAAGGATACCATCTGCAGTTGGGTGGGTGCAACATACGCCTTGCGGGCCACTGTCCGACCCGCGGAGCCTGTTTACTTACGTGACCCGTAAGAAACTTTTTTTTCATATTTCTAACGGCATCATCGGTGTTCTCTACGACTCTACGTTATGTTACCCGACTACATCATACTTGATTGAAAATCAGTTTGACAAGAATTCAATAAGAATTTAACAACGCGACGTTTCTTATTGGTAACGTGTGTGATTAAAAAATAACTATATGACGTCACAATAGACTTCAATACAATTGACCGAAATACTGGGCATCCCACTGTTTGGATATGTTGATAAGTTGACGATATTAATTTTTGAGACGGGATACTTGTACGAGGCTCTCCCTGTTGTCCCAAAACACGAATACATGACACACGTTCACTTGAATTTGAAATCGAACATAAATGAAGAAAAATTTATATATTTTTATTTATATATAGGCCTATAAACAAAAAGTAGAGTCATTTGTACATCGATGGTGGATGAAGTAACAGGGGTAAGTGTGGGAACATTTTGTAGCCTACAGGGGAAATCCATAGAAAACGAAAACATATTTTTTATATAAATAAATAAGTAAAGACAACGTGATACAAAATGCAATGGATATGTATAATGGAAGACGTTGAGAAAACGGTTGGACCGTACAATAACTGAATCCTTACTTAAAAAAAACTAATTGCCAAAGTTGAATTATGTTCTTTGATAGCTTAATTCAAAAATAATAACACCATGAAAAAGACATGTGAGCTGCGGAAACATTAGGTCTATCTGATTAGATTTCAGATGGAGAATTCAGAAGACTTCGTGTTTAAGTATTTGTGTAAAGATAGAGACTTACCAATTGTAAAAATTTGCCAAGGACTATGCTTTATCTCATTATTAGGTCCCGTTATCATAATGCTAAATTCGCACGTTTGGCCATATCTCAAGCTTCCTTCCATCTTATGTCGGTATTGAGTTATATTGTCCGGGAAATTTTTATTAATCAGCATATGATTTTTGTTGGCTACATTCCTGACCAGCAGTGTGTAATGCTTGATGCCAACAGTCTTGGGCCAGTTGAAGGATATTGTTTCGTGGCTCCATGAATTTTCGATGGCTGTGAAAATACAGTAGAAACGGAATTTAGAATTAAATTTTTTTGAATAGAGTATTAGTAAATTACAATAAGAGATGCGTAAAAAGAAATTTGACGGACTATGCTATTAAAATGACGAGACATCTACATAAATATCCTCAAATAACATCAGCATGGTAAGATTGCATAAAAAATCCCAACTTTCCTATTTAAACATCACACAACCATCACATGAAAAAGTGATTTATAAAATGAAGCATACTTACTTTGTATGACACTTCGCAGTGTTAGCGATACAGACATATTATTACTTCTTTCCACATGTGCGAGCTTTCCTGTTAATTTGTTTCCACCTTTTGGATATAGCTCGGAAATAAAATTCTTCACCTCGATAACCTACAAGGATTTACCCTAAATTTCGCACAAGAAGAATTTTCAAGATTTGACTATGGTTTCGTAACCATTCAATGATGTTTATCTGATACGACAGCGCTGAAAATCTCCAGAAATTCAAAAAATCTGAACAGCTAGTTCTCCCTTAGCTTATTAACACCACACTAGAGTTAAAAACGAACTATCCACAATTAATTGGTTAAGATATTCCCAATTAATTTTTTACACCTTGTTTTTAATTCTGAAACATCGCTTTCAAGAATACTCAACTAAATACAGGATAAGAACTGTGCGGTATAACAAGATAAACCAACAACATACCGTGAAACCTGAAATGCGTCGCGAGTAACCACGAAATGAGTCTCCGCGTCGCGTACGTGTTGTATTCAAATCGTGATTGGCCTACTGTTCATATTTATCAAAGATTATTTTTTATTTCATTCCGGCTTCACATGCGAGATGAGACTATAACAAACGGATTTTAGCGTATGTTTCAATAATAATACATGTTTGATAAGTAAACATTAGCCCGTATGCATGATGTTTATTCAGACTCAATAATGCAGAGTATTGTTAATGAATAACGCGCGCTCTCGCGGTACCTTGTACTTTCTCTTACAAGACAACAAATGTCACACAGACTGTAAACGTTTGTAATTTTAAGACAAACGCCGACGTACGATATTCGACCAAAACTTCGTTTCTCTATGTCCACAACCCGACCCACCAAACCATTCAGTGTACTCTTTGTCAGCACTAAGATTTTTTCTCCATCAAGCATAAAATCCCAATCCGACTGGTTTTTGTTCAAAAAGGCGCTCACATGAATGAAAATGCATAATTTTTTTTGCTCTTGTCGCTGCGTTAAATCTTTCGCCTTATTGACCGATGCATTTATTACTGTATGGCAAAGCGATGGCCGCATTCCCTTCTCTCGCCTTTCCCGCCAAATTTTCAGTGTGGCCCAGCTATTGGTTATATAGCCAAACGACAAAATAATGATGCACACCCATGTTCCAATTCACCTGGATACAATAGCTTCCAGTGTTGAACCGTGAAAAGCGCCGACAAGGTTCCAAAATTGGAAAGCATTTGAAGCAGAAAAATTACTATTATGCACTTCCCTATATATATATATGCGCTTCGCTTTGACTTAAATCCAATGAATACGCTTGTTTTTACGTTCCAAATAGACGGTACAATCCAATCAGTCATTTTCTCCTCGCTAAAGTTACTTCGTAGAAACGTTGACTGTGTCACGTAACATATCGTCGAGCACAACGACGGTGCTTTTACAGATGAAATAAAGAAGTTCCTTACGGGTCACGTAAGCAGGCTCTGTGGGCCAGACAGCGGTCCGCGAGGCGTATGTCGCATCCCCCTGATCTACATTATAATGAGACTAACAAACATATATTATACCCTGATCTTAATCAAAAAGTGTTCACTTGTTGAATAAACTCCAGATAGTATCTGAACTATAGGGTTGTTTCCTAAATGATCATGAATGTGAGTTTAGTACAGAACTAAAATAGGGTTAAGGTCGGATTGCCGACGTTGCGACTCACTCAAACTAAATCCATTATGGTGTGGACAATACAAGATGTATTTGTTTTTATCAAGCATGTAACTCTTAACCAATACACTCTGGTGCGCTTCTCATGTATTTCAGTCCCGATAAATTCTATCTTGCATTGTATTGTATCATATTCATAGGAGTCAAAATAAACTATTTCATTTCTAGAAGAGTCATGAATAAAAAGTTAATTTCCAGAGAATAATACTACTTGAACTAGGGATGCGCCATTTGGTCTACTCTAAATCAACACTCTGCCAAAGAGAAAACAGCTTGAACAAAACATCCTGCACATGAATATCTCTGCATGATATGATTTATCAATACCACGTCTAGATCAAATGCATACCTGAATTTTGGAACATGACTACTCATCAAAAGAAAAAAATTCTCATATTTTTATCATAGACAGGCAAGACAGCCCATTGTATGTTCTTGATAACATAGGGTCTACAGTGGCCAGGAAGCAAGAGCCAAGTTTACCAGAATATATGGAGCTGGCGCTACCAGAAATTTCAGTGGCTCCAGCTCTTAATAAATATTTTTTACATTTAGTCGCATTGAAGCAAAACTTGATTTGGGCTTATACTTCATGGCAGTGGTCTAATCCATAATTTTGACTGGAAACATGAAGCTGCAGTGTTTGAATATACTGTGACTCCAAAGCTGTAGTAGCTATCCTGATTTCCAACCAAGCCCCTGATATCCAGGTTTACTAGTCCAGGAATGATATAGAAATAGCTACATTGTTTTCAATGTATGAATATCCATTTATTAATGTACTAAGTATCATATTCTGCTTTCTGATAATAAGCAGTCCAGCTGCAAATAAAAAAAAAAAAAACAGCCTGATGACAGTTATTCGTGACTCAGCAAATCGTTGAAGGTCATACATTTGCAAGCGCTCAAGACACATTGCCTCATCCTGGATGTGAAACATTTTTCTACCGGAGTCTTCTGTTCAAATCTCAGTATCCGAGTTTTTCATTTAAACTTGTTTTTCCATCACCAGTTTGACCTGAAAAATTAGGCAAGTGTGTTAGGAAAGGCTGTACTTGAATCATAAAATATTATGCGATGGACCTGGACAATGGACATAATGACTATCAATTCCTCAAGCATTTCATTTCGAGTTACCTGAAGGCATACAGACATTCATGGTTGATTTATTGCTGAAAGAACAATTTTTGAAATTTTTTTCATCCTGTAAGTGCTTCATTTAGAACTAAAATTCATACCTTCAGGTGGTAGCCATGCACTGTAATTGGGATCATCTGAGTATTCAACTTTGGATGACGGCTTCGCCTGAAAAGTATAAAACTATTATTAAATATGTTCGTTGCAAAATCCGGTAATCCCACAATAACACCAACATAGATAAACCCGAAAAGAAACATTACTCAAAACTTTGTCGAAGATCCAAGGTTGATTTCATTGAAAACGAATAGATTAAAATTTTTTGAGACCCCGCTGAATTTCTACATATCTAGCTCATCGTGAACATGAAATAATCAGTAGATGTTTTAACAAATAAAATTCGAACCTTCCTGATTCTTTGTCTTTTACGTTTTGGTTTTGGAGCTCCTTCATCCTCTTCAATGTCTCTTTCAGAAGACTTTTCTGTAAAAATTAACAGTTTGTCTATGTTGAATGAATACAATAAATTTGAACCAATTTAACACGAGTCAGAATTTTATGTAAGAAGAATTTATGCCCTCAACATTTTTGTTCCTAAGAATTAAAAAGAGAATCTTGAAAGAATGTCGTCTGACAACAATTCATAAAGACTATTTGAAAGTATTCTGCATTATCTCTAAATAACAAATTTGCAGCAAATGAGTAAATTATGTATTTTGAAAGAACTGGCCATAACAAAATGCCAGTGAGCTAACGCCAAACACACAAATTTCATTTTAAATATAAGTTTTATGCAAACAAAATACCTTGTTCAGCTATCAATTGTTGTTTTAATTCCGGTGGTAACGTTGGACCGAGAAGTTTTCTTTTTGGTGATTTGCAAATTGCAACATGCGTTTTTTTATCCTGTATACTGTCATCAACAGCTGTCGGTTGAGATTTGAATTCCACAAGCTTTTCGACATTATCAGTTTCTTTTTTCTCAACTTTGACTAAACCATTATTACATGGAGAGTTTTCAGAAGTACCATCTGCGTTGTTCGTTGTTGAAACATGTTTTACTGGCAAAGTTTGCAATGTTGGCTTCACATCAGTTTCAGTTTTAATATCCAACAATTTAACTGTTTTGGTTTGTACAGATGTACTGTGATGATTTTTGTTCTCTTCTATGTCTTCATTTTCTTCCACAATATCTTTTTCGTCTTTACTTCCTTCTTCTAAAACCTCTGGTTCGTGGATTGGTCTAACCTGAAAAAGTTAATACAGCATGTATGAATGAAAGAAGCACGGACAAGTGACTCATACTGTGTGGCATGTCTGATGTAGACTTTGTGAAAATGGCTATGAAAATAGGATAGAATATTCATGGTTATCCCAAGGAAAAGGAAAATCAACCATATGGCGTACCATGCTTCTCGTTTGGTTACCAGTCCATGTCTAGTATGGGATTGGTTAGCCAGTTTGTTATTTCAGATACATGGATTTTATTGTGCTGGAAACAAACCAGCGGATATGAGAACCACCCTGCAGCAGAAAAGAGTCCATAAATTCACGGAATTCAAACGTGCGAAACCACACAGGGTAACCAGAGGAACGGAGACGAGGATATTCATAACGCTTAGCACGATGCACAACCGCTGATAAAAACAAGAAAAATGAATGGAATAAATTGTCAAAAAATTTTTTGGGTTGAAAAATTTATATCTAATGATATTTGAAAAAGATAAATGATATGAACTTCTATAAAGCTATCTTTACTTGTGCACAAATTGATTATGTTTGCGAGATATAACATATGGGCACCCAAGGATAAAAAAAAACTTTATTACTGAAATGAAGTCCGATTGAACAGCATCATAAATATAAACAGTCCAAAACTGTGCCTTATTGATAGAGTTGGAAGGCGTGATTGTACAAACAACTTGAAATAAAAAAATAATCATCAATTGGTGGTATAGACCCCCAAGAGCATCAAAAATAAGAACACTGAAGAAATAACTTTATTTGACTCACATTCAACGTAGTTTTTTTTTTCCCCTTCATTTTACCAATGAATGAATATGTCTTGACAAATGAACTAAAGCAAATAAAGTATAGTAAATATAAGGCACAGGTCTATTTTTTGTTATTGTATACTTTTATTTCATTGCTATTCAGAAATCTTGAGTCTTAAAAATCATGGACCCATCGCACTCAAATTTTAATTCATAATCTGGTGAAATCTAATTGTCTCTTCGAAATATAGTAAAAATTGATTGCCACTTGTTTTCGCATATTTTACTACTTTTGCTCCATAATAAACGGACATCTTTCTAGCATAGCATATAGCATACATAATTTAATTACACCATGGGTAAGATTTGGATTTATAAGCAAAGCACCCCAATAATAGAATTCAATAAGTAAGTAGAACTCAGATACTCAGTAAGCAAACTTCAGATTTATTATAAATTCTCAACTTCTTTAGCTGTTGTATGCTTATAAACTTACCTAGCTAAAGGTGGCATAGAAGATGGCCTGGCTAGATCTGCAAGTTTAGACACCCTCATATATTCTTTTTTTGCTTCAAACAGTCGTCGTTTTAATTTTGCTCTTGTTGTTGTGTCCAACGCTTTACCTGACTTAACTTGTTGCATGAAGGCATCAAGCGGATCCACAGAGTCAGCATTCATTTTTGTGGCTGTTATAACAAGAGAGCAATGATCAAACAAACAGGCACAAATATCAGAAGAATAATATTGTCACTAAAATATCGGCAAAATTCAATTGAATGTTAAAAGAATAATACTGAATGCTACCTTCAAGTACTGAAATTAAAAATCAATCGTGCCTTTTGTTAAAATAAAAAGTGATTTTCCACAAACACAAAAAGAACAGCAATAAAAATTTTCCACATGTAGGCTACAGCATATGTTCAACGATAACCAAACTATGTGGGCTTGGAATCAACTGTATTTGGGTTTAAATTAATTATTAGGTTTTAATTGTTTCCAGTGCCAGTTAACATCAGCATGCTGAGTGATGATAACCTCCATTATAGGAGACAAATTTTTGTTACGCTCGAGTGTCATGATTACATAGTCACATTTATATTTTCTGAGTCAAATCATTCATGGAAGAAAATAAAATTCACATGATAATGCCCAACAAGATCATAGCTTGCAGTATTCAAGATTATTAATTAGTAATTTAATACCCACAATTGTTTTTAGAATATTGGTTATCAAAATTGGTGCACTACAACCCACTAGTTGGCGGGAGAAGTTCTTTTATCACATGGATTAAAAATAATTGTTCCAGGCAGAAAATAATTTCTGTATGATTTCATTGTAAAATGTGTAAAAGCAAAAAAATTTCACCTTCTTTATCCTTCTGTAACTTTGCTTCAATATCTTTGACTTCATTGTCAAGTTGTGTAATTTTTTCTACCTGCAATATCAAAATGAATTTTAATAGGAAGCTTTGAACTTCTCTTTCAACAATGCTTTGCTAGACATAGTTAGCTAAATTTACTGAGGCTACAAACTAAACTGTTAAATTATCTAATTAAATAACAAAGAACCCCTATATGAACCCAAAAGGCCAAAACCCAACATTTTAAATGTATGACGGCAACACAGAGATCGGGGATGTTCAAAACGAATCGAATATTCGAATGCATTCAAAATGTAATATTTGATATTCTAAAATTATGATTTCAGAAAAGTTTTGGAAATTTCCATTAAAATTTTTTTTTATTAGTATCAGTTCACATGTGATGTCAGGCATAAAATAGACTTAACTTCTAGCAAAGTAAAAAAAGGGAATACATTGGTTATTTGGTACTCCGGTAGTATGTGTACCAGGTTAGAGTTAGGCCATACTTTAATTCCGATTTTCCTTATTTCAGTTCTATTACGAGTTCGGGGACTGTCTGTGTTAGCCAAGTGAATATACCCCCTGCCCAAAGATTTCCGTCACTTTACACAACTTGATGTAAAGTAGGCGAACAAAATTAGTTACCTCTATATTGGTACACACATTTCTGGAGCAAAAACAAATGATCATAAACTCATGCATTCTTACATGCTTACCAATGATTCATATGTTTCAACAGTTTTAGGTATCTTAGAAGATTTCTTGAGTCTCTTCATTCTCAAATTTCGTTTTTGTTCTAGTTCCCCAGTTCTATCATTATATTCATCTTCATCACTGTCATAAAAATCATCTTCTTCCCATTTTTTCGCTCTTTCTTTATGGTGTCCTGATTACAAAAATATACAATGCATCACATTGGTTGAAAAGTTTCTTTATTAGCCTTTCAATCTATGAGGTTTGTTGGTGTTTCCTTTTGAGGCCACAGTCATTTCCAGTGCCACAATCTATGCATGGGTACTTTATGCCATTTAAAAGTGATTCCAATGACATATAATAAGTGATATATTGTGTACTTCAACACACGACAGACTTCAGACATGCATAAAATGGTCGAACAATTTTTGACAGGCTGGTCTGTTAAAAGAAATTAAGGATAGGATAGGATTGACATATTCATACTGGGGAAGAGGAAAGTCTATAAGACAGCCTAATCATAGGGCAAACCATGGCAACTTGTATGGTTACCAGCGCATGTTGGGTATGAGATTAGTCAGCCAGTTATTTGTGTTAACTGTATTTCTGGCAACTAGCATTTTCCCAGATGGTTGAGCATGACCTTTGATGTCATCAGTTTCAGGTGACTGATCATGACCAACCACCTGTGAAGGTGTTTTGGCCATGTGCACTCAGGAGTCTGGTGCACAGCTTAGTTGGTGTTGCTTATATCTGTACGTGTTACTTTGGTTATTGCTTTGGACATTTATTGCTGTTTGATAAAAACATTTATTAAATATACTTTGGAGTCACTTTAAAAATTTGTTTCAGATGCATGGACTTGCGGTTACCGACAAGCGGTTATGTGAACCAGCAAATCCTCTTGCACAAAATTATCCCCAACAGGGTAATCAGAGGTGCGATGGCGAGCGTATTTCTAACCTTAATAATATGCGACACTGTGTCAAGACGAGCTTTGAAGTAAAAGAACCTGTGAAGAAAATCTTGACATCCGGTCAAATGATTGTATTGGATTTAGAAAATTTGTTAAATTTCGACATTTGAACTATTTGATGCTCGAATACAAAGCACAGTTGTTTGAATAAAGTTTATACTTTTTATACCTGTTTGCGAATAGATAACCAGTAAATCGCATTGATTTGGATAGTCAATTAGTATGTAACCCAATAGAGGTCGAGAAATATGGAAATTTTCATAAACATAATAATATCACAATGAGTTTTTTAACTACACAGTAATTAGTAGAGTGAGTGCCTATTCTTGTGTTAGGTTTTTGGGTAGGCAATGTTGAACTGGAAGAGATTCCGGTCCTTCCAAAATATACAATTGCTATTTACACATTGTTCTGTATGTCCATTTCAGCATGAAAGGCGTGGAAAGTAGTTAAAGTTGGCAGTTAAAATTGGTAGTAGTAAATTTGGTTGTATGATCAAAAAGTTCAGATAACTGGAAATCTAAATAATAAAGTTTGGATAGAGAATTCCGTAGCATGGAACTACTAATGATAGGTACAAAATATACCAACCATATTCACACCTTTATGATGAAATAATCCATGCCGTTCCAAAGTTCGACATGCTTCTAATGCACATTGTCTTATTGCATCTTTCTTTTTTCCAGTTGCATTAACTTCTGCATAAACTGGTTTTCCACCGGTTCCATCGATAGGCAAACATAAACGAACATGCCAGTGACCTGAACGTCGCTCATTGCATTCAAAATCAAGTTCCATCTCTTAAAAAATGTAAAATTGAATGTAACCTACTAAAATTTTTTCAACTCAAATATTTTTGGGTAATTTCCTCCTTGGACCTGTTTTTAAAATCTAAACAACAATCAAAAAAAGTTATATTTCATGGCATACATTCAATAGTACTCCCAGTAGTGTGTGGTACCAGGTTGGGGTTAGGCCATAATTATTCCGATTTTCCTTATTTTAGTTCTATTATGAGTTTGGGGACTGTCTGTGTTAGCCAGGTGAATATACCATACCCCATAAGTTTCAGTCCCTTTACACAACTTCATGAAAAGTGGGCGAACAAGATTAGTTATCTTCATATTGGTACACATACTTCTGGAGTGATCATTTATTTCACTGAAAATTAACTTTTTCGCAGTAAAACCAAATGTCACATTTTTTAGAAATGAACTTTTTCTGAATATCTCTCATTATTTACCATGTATTAGTTCCAAAGCTGCACCAGTTTTAGTTTTGTCTTTTGGTAGTGTCCTATGTCTATTCTTGGGTTTGGCTTTTAGAACCAAACTATTTCAAAAATAAGGATTTTTTCAAAACCTCACAAAGTTAGATAATTTGGTTCTACTGTGGCAATGTTGTAGATCAGGGTGGCCCAAACCCAGGCCCGCGGGCCACATGTGGCCTGCCGCTGCATTATCTGTGGCCCGCGTTAAAATTCGAAGAGTAATCAAAAAATCACATTTCGTGTTGTTTCGTCATAAAATTAATCAGAAAAATCTTTTGACATATTGTCATCACTAATGTCATTAAATAGTTTTATGGTTAGCTGGGGAAACTAGCAAAGTTGAATGATGTGCTTGGCAGTTTAAATTTTTATCTGGCTTTCTAACTTTTTGGTTGAGAATATAATTATGCTAACAATATCATAGAAAATTAAAAATTGAATGCGGATTCTATTAGCCTAGAATGGCTATGCCTGATAACTATGTGATTGCACAATAAAAGTGTTTGTTTTGTATTGCACTGTTTACCTATTCTTGGCATTATTGTGGCCCGCGAACAATGCAAAAATAATTTTGTGGCCCGCGGAGCCGACAACCTTGGACCACCCTGTTGTAGATATTCCACATATTATCAAATGTGTATCCAAGTTTTCGTTGTTATTCAACGTTGAGCTTGCAAAATCTGAGAATCCGTGTCAAAAACAAAAAATGGCCCATTATAATGAGAAGATAAATAGGTAATGTGAATCCACAATTAAAATCTGAATAAGTGAAAACAATAATGATTATATTTATATTACGCTATGATCATTAAAAGTAACGGCGCTCCAGAAGTGTGTGTGTGTACCAATATGGGGGTAATTAATTTCATTCACTTACTTTACATCAAGTTGTGTAAAGGGACTCAAACCTATATGGGGTATATTCACTTGAATAACACATATATCCCCGAACTCGTAATAGAACTAAAATAAAGAAAATGGGAATAAAATTATGGCCTGAACCTAACCTGGTACACATACTACAGGAGTACCAGAGTGACTAATATGAATATGGTAAAGCACAATTATAGGCCTTTATGGAGAAGGCTATTTAAATTGCAATTGGGACCATATACCAATCCTTATTCCTATCTAATAAATATAATAAGCTGATACACTCACTTTCTCGTTCATAAAGAGTAGTCAATGCTTTGACAGGATCTTTCATATAAAATGGATCTTTTTTGACATGAACCAGGATAGCATCAGGATGATCTGCTTTCTCATCACCTTCAATTTCTTCCTCTTCCTCTTCATCACTGCTGCTCTCCACTGCATCTTCCACTGTAAGTATTAATATAAATCAGAATCCTATATGGTTGTGGAGCAGATTATTAAACTCTACTATAGTCTCTTGATAATAGTAGATTAAAATATTACGCAACAGAAAAAGTCATTATGAGCTATTATAACAAACGTGCAATCAAGGCAACCGTTTCAGAAGGCATTGCGTGGAAATTTCCGATTCAGATTTTGAAACCCCCTTTTTGAAAATGCAGGTTGCGCCCCTGACTATTGTTATGTTTTACCGACCTTTAGTGCGATCAGTGTTATGCGCGTATACCGGCAAGCTAAATTTTTAGTACAATCAGAGTCGTGTCCATATAAGCCGACCTCTTAATTTGGCAACTTTTTTGAGTTTTAAACTCGGCTTATATGCGAGGATATACGCTAACGTTAATAATGAATATTTGAGGAAAATGGAACAGCAATCTTACACATTCCCCAAGTCACTCCTGTGCTCTCTGTATTTCTTTGATTACGATTTTTCTTTTCATCATCTTCATCACTACTACTATCTTCACCCAACATCATTCGTTCCAAATCTTTCTTTTTCTTTATTTTATTCCTGAAACAAATCATTGAGCAATTATTCATCGAAAATATTGAATTTCTTGCATTGACAATAAAGAATATGAATAAGAACATAATGGTCAGGGCCGCAGCCAGGAGGGGTGAGAAATGTAAAAAAAGCAATTTTACATAGCTTGGAACCCTTTATAAATCCTCAAGACTCTTGGAAACCCACGTTTCCGAAGTCCGGATGGACCCGCTAGCCGTTACGGTCTAACTTGGCAATTAGAAATTTCATGTCTATGCCCGTGATAATTGTACTTGAAGAGAAATGTGTGAAAATAAGGCCAAATCTCTGATATTTCACAGTAATTTGTATCAGTCAAGTTCATAAATGTTCTGACTAAACTTAATTAAATAACGTTTCCCAAGATAGTTAATGGCTGGCATATTGGTTTTACAATACATGGCATATTGGTTTTACAATACAGAGTTGTTGAGTTAAAATTTTATGTCTGCCACCTTACCTAAGGTGTAATAATAAAATGTGCAGGCAATACTGAAGTGAAAAGAATATGGACGGTCTTTCAAAAAGCACAGAATGGTTACTTTAATTTATTTTTAATATCAGATTCTATCGAAATGAGAGTAATAAAAATATATTTTTACTAACTTATTGAACTCTCTCAATTCGGTAGCACTTTGCGTTGATTCCATTTCCTCATCTTCTTGAGGCCCCTGCATTAGTCAACAATTAAGTGATATTATTTTTGAGCAATGGATTGAAAAATATATATCTAAAGCTGTTTCAAATTTCGCCATTGAGTGTAGGTATGTTACAAAAAAATTAAAGTTCATCCGATTTAAATCAAAACTGCACCAGTGGATAGATCTATGTGAAAATAAGAAAACAATACCAAGTTTGCGAAAAACGGTCAAGAATTAACGGAGATATCGGCATTTAAGTACCACCCGATAGGCCAATTTTTTTCATAAGGATTGTATTGCGCCGACTCAAAAACTGTGACCGCAAGAATGTCAGACCGATATACAACAGAATCTCGGCTATTTTTGAAGGTAATCGAAAAAAATTAGGAACGAAAAGTTATTGTGAATAGAAGAAACTAATACAAAAAAGTTTACAAATTCTTTTTAACGATATTAGCTGCTTTCCAATTAATTATGTACGAGAAAGTTTCTAAACTTTACATAACCTCTGGTCTGCAACGACTTTCCCACTACACAAGTCCCCGCCTACGCGGCAATTAACTGATTTAGCGTTTTTCATATCCGACCTTAATGAACGATTAATTATCATTTAATATTCCTTAACTCGTAAGATATTTACCGCGCTTAGTGAAACGCTAAACGAGAGAAATCGCTGCGAGGGAAAATGTCGGCATTCAGTCGATGACTGATGCACGTTGACAGACGCGTGCTAAGATCATACTTCTCGTGCCTTGAATTAATTTGTACCCTTTCGTAAACGTATGCGAATTGATTTTTTTCAATAAGAACTTTAATAAATATGAAAAAAAATAACACATATCAATCCTTAATCTTTCGATGTGCGTCACATCTAAGAAAATTGAGATTACGTCAGGATTTTATTCTGGCAACGATCATTGAGGCCGTCGGAAGATCGTCGCAAATCAACCCTGGAGTTGAGCATATTAGTTTGACAGTGCCTCGTTGCGGGTAATAATTAACGATGTTCTGATTGAACAAACTTCATAAAAATTGGTAAGTATCAAGTTAGGAATGACATACATGCGTCCATATATATTTTATTGGTGTCCATAGACAATACATTAATTTGCAGTACGTATAACTTTAGCGTAATTTTTAAAAGCCCGAATGTTGGAAAATTTATGCGCTAATGAAAAAATTCAAATACCGAATCATAGTTGCGCATTTTATCTAAGTTATGTCAAAATTTCATGGAATTCCAAACAACAGCAGGCAGTCCGAAGTCGTTTTTATGAGCGGTATTCTGACACGGCGTTACGGTACTTAGCAGACGTGGTGCGTACATTTTTTGGCGCGAAAAAGCGCGTTTTGTAACATTCCTATTTGATGTCAAAATAACTAGATCAAACGAAAATATTATGAATTATTCCTGAATTAAAAATCAGCAAAAAGGAATTGGTATTAGAACCAACTTTTTTTCATTGTAGCTTCAATACATAGTAAAACAAAGTATATTTCTTAGTTTTGGCACACTCATTTGTTTTACTACTTGAAAATTAAAGGAGACTAGTCTATAGACACTACAAGCAATTTTTTTATGTTGCAGAGTAAAATTTTTTAGGCCAGGCCTAATTGAATTTTAATTCTGAAAATGACATGCTTTGAATTACCAGTTACTTAATTTAGTTCGATAATTTTCATTTACCTGTAATATAAATAACCTGGTACTCCCGCCAAACTTCACAACATGTCCAACTTTGATTCTGTAGTAAATTTTTGGTGAAATGTTCTGTTTATTTATCATAGTACCGTGTGTACTACCCAAATCGTAGACATAAAATCCATGGGATCCGTCCTTTTGCAATTCAACATCTTCACAGTCTGAAGTAGGAGCACCATATTGCAACACTGAATGATATCTGAAAGTCAATAGTGATAGTTCTCAGATAGCGGATTTTTTTTCAGATATTGAACTTGGTGGATACCCTTGAAAAAATTAGAGATAGAAGTTTAAACTACCCCAAATCGGCAGAAAGGCTTGCTTGTGTAAAAAATTTTATATTCAAAATTTTCAAGGGTCTCAAAACAGATGAGCGAATTTTAAAATTTCGATAAATTATTCATTAGAAAATAAACAAAGAAATATGGTTCTTCAATATGCTGGTATCTAATCTCACTTTGGAGCAATAGTCACCAAGTAATTCAATAAAAGGTTTCATAAGTTTAAAATCAAAATTATATAGTTTTTCGTCATTTTCTCAAACCAGCTTTTTCAAAAATCACCCTTTTGAATAAAAGCCCTCCATCTGTTACCCTGGAATCAGGAAATTGATCCAATTTCAAATCAGGAAGAGGAGTAGAATTGGTCAACAAAGAGTCTCGAAAGTTCAATTCAGTATTTCAAATTGCAAGGTGTCTGAATTTGGAATCTGACATTCTACATGACAGCAGAGTTTAAAATTGCCCAAGCATCATTTACATCACATAGGATTAGATCATTTGGCTTATTTCTTATTCTTTTCACATGGCCAATGTTTGTATTCCCCTTTGGAATAGATACAATATACAGATAATGAAAGACTTTAATAACTTTAATAGATGAACTGTTTGTTATACAGGGTGATCATAAAGTTCTGTTAGAATTAAAATTTGTTATGAAATCAAAGTTCTCACTATATCTTAACCAGGTTTATTTTATTATAATCAATGTTCTTCAAGTTTTTTTTCATCTCATTTAATACACCTTTATATACACTCAAATTAGTTGCATGAAGCACATCAAAGTGCTTTTACCTAGTTTGAAACATAAATTTATGAAAACTATGTATATACCTCACTCATAATCTTGGATCTGAATGCGACATTTAAAACCAAATTTCAATCACTATAAATGTTACCTTGATATTGAGGGATGTTCCATCTTGATATGACAATCAGGTAATCTTCCAACTAGAAAATAATCTCCGTTCGAGAGGTCAATTTTATCAATGATAGAACCCATTTTCAGCACCTGTAAAAATATTTATCAATGTGTGTCATTTAACAGTTAGCACAGAAACAGGAAGAAATAAGATTGAAATTCTGGTTCAAAATACACTTGTGTTGAAACTAATATAACCAACGCATAATAACCATATCATCATGGTTTCTAACTAGTGTGCATGTCATTTTCTAGTTAGGACCACTTGTAGAATATGAACTTCTTTTATTCATGATGAAGAAATCATCAAAAGGATATAATGACAATAAAAAGTTAGTGACCACTATCCTATTCCATTGTGGAAGTTTTCAAAAAATTTTTGAGTCAGCTAATTAGAATTTAAACACCAATAACAAAGAATGAAATATTTCGTAATTTTTACATCGGGTCATAATCACGCTTTAACAGGGGGTAAATTACGGCCTACCGAAGTGTTTCATCCGGCCCACTTGTGTCTGCTGAAATTATGACTATAGTTTTTGTGGATATAAATTTCCATTGAAAATATCGTAAAAATAACGTCACAATGACCCCGATTATTACTTTGTGCTGATTAATATCATATAAACGTTAGTGAATAAAATGATAAACTGTTTTTATTCATAGTTTTGAGCCTCCGGCCCAGTAAACAAGTCTAGTATCTGTAACTGGCCCATTCAGAAAAGCAATTGCCCACCTCTGCGCTATAACAATTTATATAGGACAATATTTTTGACTGCCTAATAAATAAATATACCATTTTAGAAATGACATTTCAAAAGTTACTAATTATAATCAAACTCAATTTGTTGCAAATACACATCAGCTTATTTGAACAGTATCCAAATCAATTACCTCAAGTGAATATTTTCTTTCTTCAGGTTCTGAGCCCCAATCTGGTGATTCATATGATAATTTTGCAGGAGGTGGTTTAGGTTTAGGAGTTGTATTTTGAGATGATGACTTTTTACTTGATTCATCTGATGCAGGTTCTGCATTCCTTTCCTCTTTTTCTAGAAACATTTTACAAAAGACCTCGTAAATTTTACTGATTTTTAACAATATGACATTCATAATTAAGCCATACAGTCCGTCTGATTAATTTACAAATTCAATATGAAATTTTTAATGACAGATATAAATGTATTGCTGAAAGAGGTAAACAACAGGTAGTAACGAGCATTGTATCATTTACATACAATTATTTAGAATGTCTTCACTGAAAGAGATTTATTTACATTTTATAATTCTGTCTTGCATTTTAACAATTTGAATAAGTTATTTAATATCTTTAATATGCAGATGTATTAAGTGACAGTTCCCCCTTGTTAGCATCTAGTTTAGGTACTGATAGAAAAGTTCATACTTAAATTTGGATTTGGTGAGGTCAAGGTTCTATCAAAGTTGATATAAAACCAAACCAAGGTAAACCAAGATAGCAGACACCGGAACGTAGCATGTGTACCAGGTTAGGGTTAGGCCATAATTTCAGGTACAAATACTATGTGAGTCACTTGGCTAGTTTCCGAAATCGTAATAAAACTAAAATACGATAAAAATTGAAATAAAATAATGGTCTAACCCTAACCTGTACACATACTACGTTCCGGTGTCCGCCCTCTTGGTTCACATACTTCGGGAGTTCCTGATTTTCTTTGGAAACCTATCATTGAGGGGAGTCTTGCAGCTGACAAATACAATGGTGAAAGATGAATACAAATTCTTTCCACAAAGAAGGCTAACGTATATAAAACCTTAAAACCTTCTTATTTTTAAATCCACATAGGTAAGAAACAAGCATTGTATTTCCAATAAACAAATTACTAATCCATTACCTGTCTTTGGCCTTGCAGACCTTTCCATTGTAATAAAAGCTGCAGCTTTAGGAGCTTTATAAATATCTGCTGGAACAGCAAACTTGGACCGAAAAGCCATAGTAACTGGTGATCTTTTCGAACTTGTATCATCCTTTTTTACAGTTTTAGCAACAGGTGGCAGAATCATTGGCATGAGGAATCCATCATCATTTGTTTTCTGATTTGAATCCGTGGCAGAATCAGTAACATGTTGGCTCTGAATTGGAAGTTCTGTCGAATCTTTTTTATTTTCATCAATATGTTTTGAATCAAGATTAGCACCTGAATCAATTTGATTCTGAATTCCATCGTTTTCAGTGATTACATTTTCTTTAGTCTCTGTTTCATCCATTATAAAATTCTTATTGATGATCTTCCAGGGCCAGGGAGAATTTATCTATACTGTGAAAAAGCAGACACAGGAAGGAGCATATTCTGGACACAGTTCTATTTAATTTGTAGATACATATTATGACACAGTAAAACAGCCTGAAATTTTCCTTCAATACAAAAGCAAAATATTATTAATGGAATTCTATAGTCACATATAACATGCCAAATTGTACAAATCATCAATAGTCCTATGTCCTTGGACAGCTAAAAACATAAGAATGTAAAATTTTCAATGACCAAACAAGATATTACACTGTTGAAATATTATATTCTACCCAAAATTTCAATGATATCATATTCTTGGATTCATTATGCTTACTTCAAACCAGTGGTTTTCAAACAGTGGGGTAGGCCCCACAAGGGGAGCAAAGACAATTTTTCGAGGGGACGTGAGGCTAATTAAAATTTAAAATATTAGTTAGATTTGATGCCTGCCTTATTTTGCATATTTACATTTCTTTATTTTGGATATTTACATTCCATCCACGTACTTTCAATGTGTTTTTTGAATGAATAATATTGAGCATTTGGCAAATATTGACAGCATACTGTGGCCGTCTAAGGAAGATCAAAATGTTCAGAATCTCCATGTAATACATACACTCCAAATAGTAATATGAATCAGGGCAAGGTACCTGATATCATAAAATTCAGATTATTAAGATTCACCTAATGAATTCAGTGAATTAAACAAATCTAGGCACAATGGAACAAGTAATATTGGTCAGCACTATGAAAGCATAACACATAATATTTTTACAAGGCATTGGTTATCAAATTGATGAAGATAAATTGACAAATATGATTGTTTAACTAGTTTACAAGAAATAACCATTAGCAACTAAACTCTGTAAATATAGTCAGACAAAATATAATCAGCATACTAAACAAGCATACCTTGGTCATAGAGTGTGGAATTAGTCTTTTCTAGCATATGCAGTTTATGTGTTGCCATGACATAGAAAAAGTGTTACCCAAATTTGATTTCATCACTAATATTCAAATAGAGTTGTTTCTAAATTCGAACAGTGGAGTATTGTTTCAAGTCAAAATTTTGTGCACTGGCTGAAAAATTATGATTTATAATAAGCAGCAAGATACAAAAATAAGTCTAATATTACTAGCCCCTGTCAAATACGGTAATTGAATATTGCCCTACAGACAGTTTGAAGAACTACAACAATATAAGAACTGCAGAGCACAGACCAGTATAATACCCAAAGTGTCACATTGCATCCTGATTGTAAACTGTGAAAAAACCATCAAATATGCACCATATGGTTCATCGTATACATACTGTACTGATAAAATCCAGCACAATTGTTTTGTTCACACTCATCATATCGAGAAAATTGCGGACAATTTTTATCTTTACGATATTATTTTATTCATCTAGGTTTTTATCCTTCTTTTTCTTTTTTTCTTTACTCTTTTTAGGTTTCTTTTCTTCCTCATCTGAAGATTTATGATGCCGTTTCTTACTCTTCTTTTTTCGTTTCTTTGCTTTCTTTTCACTTTCAGAAAAACTAGATTCAGGGGTAGGTGATCGATTTCTTTTCTTTTTCTTGGCATGATATCGTTCTTTTTCTTCATCTGATTCAGATTCGCTGGAAGAAGATGTCTTCTTTTCTCTGTGTTTTCGTTTTTTCTTCTTTTTCTCTTTTTCTTTCGCTTCTCGTTCCGCTTTTTCCTGTGCGACTTTTGCTTCTTCTTGCAAGACTTGAATGTGTTCTTGAAAGAGACGGATTCGATCTGCTTCCACTGTTATTGCTTTGAAAGCGTCTTCATTCTCGAGTCTCTGACGACATTCCTCCCATGTCGTTTCTATGTCGATCGCTGGAGCAGTAATTTTGAGCATATTACGGAAGGCAGATTCCCTTCGTTTCTGTCGTCGAAGTTCCTCTTTGATTCTTTCTTTTTCTCTCGATTCTGCCTTTTCTATTAAACTATTAAATGATAGTTTGATGTTTCCAGCATCAAGAGTAGCTGCTCTTTTATCTTCAGTCACAACTTTAGCGAATGCATCAAAAGTCGTTTTCAAACCAACCTCAAATCCTTTTTCTTTCAAAATATCGCGTATAATTTTCTTTTCATCATGAAAACGAGATTTGAGGTCTTCCACATAAAATTTGAACAAATCCAGAGGTGTAGAGCCAGGCTGCCCAATTATATGATTAAATTCTGTGGCCGCAGATAGGGTTGGATAAAGTTCCATCCATGTTGACATAGAATGAAGTTTTCCATCATCATGGAAACTATCGAGAAGTTTGGTAAAAGCTTCTCTGCTTTTCCTGTATGCCCGTCGTTCCAATGTCCTTCTTCTCTCAAGTTCTTCCTCTAATTCTTTTTCTTGATCTTTAATGACTTCTTCAAAGCAAATCAAAGCGTCTTCTTTATCCATATTCTGGAGTTCTTCATCTTCCGCAAAAGCAGCATTATCCATCAACATTTGTTGGCACTGAGACCATGTTGTTCTTGCGGAGAGTTTATCAAGACTGTTCAAGATCTTGCGAAGCTGTTTCATATTTCTTCTACGTAATTCCTTTGATTCTTCCTTTTCTTTTTTGGAAAGAAAAAATATCACATCTTCATAAATATCTTTGCGATCACGGTCTTCAACACTTTTCCATATAGGTATATCGGCAAACATTTTATCAGCAGTACGATAACGTATTAGACTTGTCATTTTTTCACTCGTTTCCAAAAACTTTTGTAGTTTTTCTTTATTATCTTTAATTCTTTGCCTTTCCTCTTCTTTTTCTTCTTTTCCCCTCTGTGTTTTAAATTCATTGAAAGCTTGCTTTTTTTCACTTAATTTTTTCAATGCAGTGTAGCGCGGATCATTAACAATTAATTTCATAGCCTGTTCCCATGAAGAAGTTGAGAGTACACCTTTCTCTTTCAGACAATCTTTGAAGGCTTGTTTCGCTTCATCTTTCGTTGTGTATTCTTTTTTCTCCTCTTTTTTCGTTTTTTTCTTCCCCGCTTCTTTTTCAGTGGCTTCTTCATCATCGTTGTCAGAATCTTTTTCCTTCTCCTCTTTCTTCGATTCAGAATCATCTTCATCAGATTCAGATTTGGGTTTTTCTTTTTTCTCTTTCTTTTCTTTTCTTGCCTTTTTCGCTTGTGCTTTCTGTTGCTGAGCCATCATCATCATTTGCTGTTGCATCATCATTTGTTGCTGCATCATCATCTGCATTTGCATTGGATCCATCATCGGTCCACCGCCCATCATTGGGCCGCCCATTGGTGGTCCAGGTCCCATTTGGCCCATTGGGCCAGCAGGTTCACTCGGCATGCCTTCACCATCTTTAGGGCTGACACCATCTTTCGATTCACCACTATCTTCATTCTTTGGTTTCAGCTTTCCTTCTTCTTCATCCTTTCTCCTCTTCTCACGTTCTTCCTCCTCCAGTTTTTCTATTTTTTCTTTCATTTCCTGGAGTTCTTTAGGAATTGACCACACACTGGTTTTTGTTTCAGAGTTATAATAATACGGCTTCCCAGAATCTGATTTGTATTCTTTCCAAGGGCAACTAGCAAGCAGTTGTTCTGTAGAAGATTTTAATTCATCAGGTTTCTCCCATTTAGATTGCTTTGTCACAGAATTATAGAAATACGTGCGACCATCCGGTGCTTTGTGTTCTGTCCAATCAGTTTTTGTTCCATCACTGGTCAGCAAAGGTTGGCCTTTGGCACCACCACTACCAGGACCTCCCATAGGATTTCCTCCACCTCCCATCATGCCCATTGGAGGTGGCATCATTCCAGGTGGAGGCATACCGGGTGGGGGCATCATTCCAGGAGGTGGACCACCCAGTCCTGGTGGTGGTCCACCCATTCCCATCCCCATTCCAGGTCCCATAGGTCCTCCCATCGGACCACGCATTGGTCCTCCCATAGGTCCAGGTGGACCCCAACCCATTGGTGGACCATTCATTCCAGGTCCTGGACCACCTTGCATTCCAGGTCCTGGACCAAACCCTGGGCCCAGCATGGGGCCAGGAGGGCCATTGAAATTTCCAGGCCCCATTCGAGGTCCATGTCCATCAGGACCACCCATTTGTCCATTAGGTCCAGGTCCCATATGACGTGGGCCTGGTCCCCTGGGTCCTCCAGGACCAGGTCCTGGCATCTTTTCTGAAATGATTGATGATATGGAATAGGATCTCTCTGAATCGTATCGTGTCAAAAATAATTTCTTTTACATTATACATATTAATTTATTCATTATAGAGTATAATTAGCATTTCATGGAAAAATAAAACAACAAAAGGTTACAAATAGAGAATGAAAATTTATAAATACAAAAAAAGGAATCAAAAACTAATTATAATCAGGTAGTTTACCACACATTCTAAGTCCACAAATCGCCGTTGTATTTTGTAAATACGAGAATAGGAATCAAAAATTAATATTAATCGCGAGTTTGCCACAAAATTTATGCCCACAGATTGCCGAGATATTGTGCCCGAAATTTTTGATTCTTATTTTCGGACTCACAGAAAAAATGTCACAAATCAAAAAAATAATATATACTTTATCCCGCTTTTTGGAAAAAAATTTGGTTAATGGTTGCCATTGGTTTGTATTTAAAAGTATGGACTTTTTACTAGGATGACTTTGTGCTTCTCAAAATATTCGAATCCATGACCGATACCACTATTTAAAATGCCTTACCATGTTAATTTAATTCTATTAACATAACTCAAATGTTGGTAAGTCGGGCAGCTTACCACACATTTTGTGTCCACAAATTCTCGTAGTATGTTAAGAGTATTAATACTTTTATTATTAGAGAATTTTTTGTTCTCTTGCATTGACTTGATGGCATAGGAAGCCGTAACGATGCGCCACCCGCCTTGCTTCGTGATTGAGTCAGACATATCTAGAGAAACATATCTAGATATCGATAATTGAAATAAATGAACGAGAGCAATGCTCAAATATAAGAAAACAAATAACAAACAAAACGAAATATATTATCCACAATTTTCCCAAAATCATATTCTGAACGAAGCTTAACCTATTGAATACCGAGCTGTCCTAGATTCAGAGCTTTCCCAGGTCCTGTAACAACGACTATGATACTTGTGTTTAGTCTCACCGTGAATCAATTGATTCTGTGATTCGAGTCACAATTCGCTAAGCACTAGATTCGCTGGATACCATGGCGTAAATGCCACCGCACGCAATTTTGTTGACATCACGTCAAAAATCGAAGTGGACAACAAATCCCATTAAGCCCAAAAAATGTTCGAAATACATGAAAGTAATAGCATTTTAGCCACAATCACAATCTTTAACCACCGGAAGTTTCAAAGCAATTGGTCCAGTAGTTCAGTAGTTGAAGTGAAAACATTTTTTTTCACAACAACAAAACCGGTAACACAGTAACATGAAGAATAAAATTATTATAAATACCAACAACAACAGCAAATAATACAGTAATAACAAAACTATCTTCAGTCCAATTCGCAAGTGCAGTTTTAAGTATCCTGTGGCATCTGCAGCTGCCGCAAAACCATGGCGGTATTTCCATACCATGGTCGCTACGGCCAAACTCATGGCAACTGACTTTTTAGCTGCCACAAACCAATGTCGAGCTGAATTTTGCTGCCGTAACCGCGGCAGGTGGGCCGTAAAGACAGGGCTGTCTATTATGGTGACGAATATTGGGTAAGTTGGAACGTTTTTCTTATGGATACAGTTTTGATTGATTTGGGGTTAGGGTTTAAGTAGATATAATTCCACATGATCAATTAAAATCTGGCACATTAATTTGTGAATATACCGTTAATACTGATTACTGAATAGCGCTATAAAACCATGGCAAGAGCTGCCGCAGTTCGTTCGTGGCAGGAGCTGCCATGAAGTGGTAAGAACTGCGCCTCCCAATTCGTGTCCAATAATAGGCCTAGCATATTTTTCATATTTTATATAGACACAATACTGCAATAGTACATAAATATTTGGGGTCTAGTATAGTTTAGTACCACAAGTACTTCCGGTGGGCGTAGCACAACGAATTTCGCATATGCTATTCCTAACCCCCACCTGATTATGCCATCCAAAAATTACATCACTACGACGTCACCACACGTCATAGGGATTGCCAGAGTATAATTATGATCGCCCGAAATGACATCTGCACCGCTGATAACAAACTTGCTAAAGCCGGCGATCTCTTTCCTATAGTGATCATTGTGACGAGAAAACAAGAGAAATTGCTTGCTCGATTTCGGGTGATCGTCTGCGCGTTTTGGACGACCATCCGCATACTTCGGTGGGCCTTATTACGCCACTGTCTCACATTTGAATTTGAATTTATAAGATATTGCCCGATGTCACATCGTGTTTTTGTTTTATTCTGTTTTTGGGGGACGGGCATGTACTTGTACGTATTTAACTTTTTTATTAAGTTATGCCTGTCCTCCAGATCCTCTGTATTTTGTTTGTCCCTTTGTTGTTGTTTTGTTTGTATCAGAGTGACCGAATAAAATTAATTGATTAACTGTGACGTCGAAATGACGTAATTTTTCAGTGACGTAATCAGGTGAGGGTTAGGATTGACATATGCAAAAATTGTTGAGCCAGGTCAACTAGAAGTACATGTGGTACTAAACTAGGCTATACCAGACCCAATACTGCAATATTTGTGCACTTAAAAAACGAGCCTATGATAATTTTCACTTCTTCACATGGATCTGTGGATTGACAGTACCGGTACCGGTACTGTACTGCGGCTAGGATAATTCCTGAATTCTGTGATCGGGTTATACAGTAATACAGGTACCGGTACCCATAATACACATATCTGATGACACAGTGCGGTAGAACAGAAAACGAGCAATCTACTCTTCTCTGCGGGCAGACTGGTAACTCCAAAAACGTCAAAGCGCACAAGCATGCCATTGGCCAGTCTGGATTTCATGGCCTTTTTGAACGAGAAATCGGGCGTGCAATCAGAAATTCCCGCGTGCAAATAAGAATTCCTGGCGTGCAATTATAGCTCACGACGTGCAAAACAACTGCACTCGCGTGCAACTGACTTTGACATCAGATACCTCTCAATACATCCGCGTAAAATTACCGGTATCGGATAAAAATTACGTTAAATCAGAGAAAAAATGGACGTTTGACCTTTAACCCCAAACATTATTTCTACAGTTTGTCGCTAATTTTGAGAGTGTTTGTGCGACTTTGGATACCGGTACTGTTCAGTACATCCGCGTAAAATTATTGGATAAAAAATACGTTGAACCAGAGCAAAATGGACATACTTTGTCATTAATTTTGGTAGTGTTTTTACGTAGAATTAATGGATAAAAATTACGTCAAATTAGAGCAAAATGGACGTTTGACCTTTGACCCCAAACATTATTTTCATACTTTGTCACTAATTTTGGGAGTGTTTGAGCAACTTTAGATACCGGTACTGTTCAGTACATTCGTGTAAAATTATTGTATGGAAAATACGCTGAATCAGAGCCGTACTTGGCCATTGGTGCGGAGGCGATCTTTTAGTCCATAACTATTCTCACGGGATTCCTATTTCCTATCATTCAACACGATATGGACCTTTCCCCGAGCATCGACTTCCTTGTTTACTTCGTGACATTGGCCAATCAGCAAGATGCAAAAAAGGACGTAACAATGAGAGGAATTTTTCGCGGGTCAAAGGTTGGGGAAAGATCCATGGTCTTTTTGCTTCGCAATATTTCGATCAGACCAAATCTTGCAAGCTGGTATTTGTCGACAATTGTGGAGGTATAATATTTTGGCATCTTTATATTACTGGATTATTGATTTTAAAACCATTTAAACCGATTTACATTGGTGAGCAATTGCAAATTTTCGGCGTGCAAAATTGATTTCGCTCGCGTGCATTTTTGCGGAGCGCTAGCGCCCTCGGGCGTGCACCTGCCATGGAATCCAGTCTGGGCCATTGGTTATAGTCATAGATTACTTACTGAATGTAGTTCGCTCATGGCCGGTTCGCTACGCATGGGTGATGCGTTACTACGTATATAAGTATAAGTAAGTATAAGTTTATTTCGACTCCATAATCAGCAAAACAATAAAATGAATGGTAAAAATAAATAAATAAAAACTGATTATGAAATCAGGAGAGCGAACAAAACCTTAGATAAGGTTTAAAACGTACAGAATGTATATAAGATGTAAGGTTTTGCCAAGAAGATGTGGTACGTGTTCACTCACCTAAAATAATTGAAATATTTCACACACGCTCACACGCACCCACACACACAACCATATAGAAGTTATTAAGTAAAGGGAACATAAAAAATTACATACTGGTAGCAATGACATTAAACAACATGATGCGCAACTCCGGCATTTTTGGCCGAAGATCGTATTCGATAGCACGCTCCAATGCACATACTTGACGAGACGAAAACGAGCGGATGTGTGCTGCTTTCAAGGCATAGCACGAATGGTGTTCGTGCCTGCTTTGACAGTTGTTGTCGATTTTCTGGATATTTTGTAAAGTTGAAGTAGAAAGAAATTGGAAAAAGGTAAGGTAAATACTATTGTTGTATATCACACCCGGGCATCGCACTGTTAAGTACATGTGGGAAAGTCAGCTTTTGTCAAATATTACGAAGTTATTAATTCAGTACGGTACGTAGTTGCCCATTTGCCGAAATTGCATATTTACTTACCCCTTATGTTTTCAAATAGTTCATGCACCTCCATTTAGATTTTTTTATTCAGTGAGAATATATACTCATTGCTGTAACATACTATTGCTCATTCACTTTTATTTGCGTATTGAATCAAAGGGTTAACAAGTTCACCTAACATTTCACTCATACCGGTCTATATTGTATAGTCTGATCTCTCAAGTATTTGGAGCCACGAATGCTTGTAATTTTCTGACTAAACCCTTTTATTAGTTGGTTTATATACCAAATTCAGTAAAACATTTTTTACATAGACATGGGATATTGGATTTATTAGCTTTTCCATTCTAAATCATATAGACTGCTTTATTTATTCTTAATGAAAATTAATAAATCTCCTCTCTTTCTTCAGAGGACAAACCTGTCTAAGCATTGTGAGACTCCTGCAGCACAAGAGGTAATAGCAAAAATATTAAGTATCTCAATCAATAAATTAAGCCGACCTTAAGCAAAACTTTCAACTATTCGTCTAACCTCAATTTCCTATTATTTATTCACAGGACAACTGTAGCAGAAGGGG